TAATCTATCGTCAGTAAGTATTAAAATATCGAATAAATGTAATTATATCCACGAATAAATTAATATCAAATCGGATGTAATAAATATTTCGGACATTCACCAAAGCGACTAATTTGATTGTCAACATTCACCGGTGAAAGGCAACAACCACCGATTTCGGTCATTCACAGTAACATGCACATCATTTACATAATAACCTCATCAGGACGATTATTTCATACTTTGCCTAAAAAGCATCCGGCATTTCAAAAAATAAAAATAATTGGTTTTGTTGGCGATGATGTCGTAAGGCGATAAAGAATCATGCATAGTAAAGGTAAGGAAGATATTAACCTCGAAGGAAAAGTGGATGAATACCCCATGGAACCATTTTAGGTTCCTTAGGTTCCTTCCCTATCTATAATTCTTTTATTAACTTTAAAAACCGGTAGCGGAATTTAAATAGTGCATCTGCAGCCCTATCTACATGAATCCAAACTTGTCTGCTACCCTAATGCAATCAGAAATTATTATTGTAAAAATTCGACTTAATTTAACATGCATGTAGCGAGATTGATACAAAAAGAAAAGAAAGAAAGAAATAATAAATTTAATAATAAATAATAAATAATAATAATAATAAAAATAATAAATAATCAAGTAATCAAGAAAGAAAAAATCCTCATTTTTTTATCCTTGCTGCGTTTTCCCAATTCAACTGTTTACTTTTTATTAGAAACGGATTTAGAGATGTTTTAAAAAAAGATTCAGTGATTACTCCCATTAGTTTGTTTGCGTTTTAAAAATTAACAGAAAACTTAAAGGAAAAATTATCTATAGATATATGAGAGCTTCTGTTACCGGACTGTAGATATAATAATCACCTCAACTACATTCACTGTACATGCATATGTAAACTAAAGTGTCTTCGTGTTTAAAAATAGGCTTAAAAATGTGTAGTTGTATGTGTGTATCGTATGTTGTTAGAAAATTTTTTCAAAAAATGTAAAGCCATACCAAAAACTGAAAAAAGTAAAACTGTTCGACGTCATTATTTCTTTATTATGCTAATCGGGTTCTATAAGACGCAATTTTTATATTGCTATTCAATAATAAAGATCATAAGCGCAGTAATAGAGGCCATAAGTACAGTTTTGAAATATCATTCTTTAGAAAATGTAAAGCCACGTCAAAAAATGAAAAAAAATGAAAATTTTCGACGTCATTATTCTTTGATTATGCTACTCGGGTTCTATGAGTTGCAAACTTTGTATTGTTATTCTATAATAAAGATCATAAGCGCAAAAGTATTTTGAATATATTCAAATTGAAAAAAAAAAGAAGCTAGCCTCTATAATGCCATTGTTGTCTGATAACCCTCCAGAGCATTACTGCTTTTATATCGACTTATATTTTGTATCTTGATCAACCTTAACAACGGAAGGAACAAAAACATCTTTATTTAGTAAATTAATTTGAAGTTTATGTTTGATTTTTAAGTTTCAATTTGTAATATTGTGTTAAACATCAATATCGTTTACAGCCGTAAATTTAAAAAAAATCGTTTTTTAGTGTACTTTTTATGCATATAGCTTCCTTGGGCAAAATTGAAAGAATCTATCAGAAAAACGGTTTTGAAAACAAAAAATGTTAATAAATGTATATGCATCCGAATAATTTATTCTCAAAAATCTGAAAAGCAGTTTCTCTACTTTTTAGTTTTGCTATCATATCTTTTTGAGCCTACATTTATTTCACTATAGTACATTCCTATGTTGCTGTTGTTTTTTTTTTGTTGTTGTTTTTTTAATTGCTCTATTTTTCAACAATGAAACAACTGTCAAGTGGGGGGAGAGATGTTATAAGAAAAATTCTAATATGCTTTTAATCCTCTTCATTAAATTTTCACAAATAAGCTGATTTAAGATTTACTTTATTTGGCATTCTTTCGATACATGTAAAATACAAAGCCGTTATCCAATTAAAATTTGAGATATGAAGCTTGTGGTATTATAAATTCTCTTTTAATTTTTCCTGGAAAATGACAAATGAATCTTGAAAAATGGATGAGTTAAATAGCATACATTTTTTCCTTTTTCTTTTTCGCTTTGTCCAATTTGCCTTGTAATAATTTTTTAACATCATCCATCTAGATATTCATCAAGTTAAACTGTAATAAAAGTAAATTTTTTTTAAGAAAATAAAAACTGTCAAACGTACAATTTTAAAAAGACTTACTAAAAATCACAAACCGCACAGCTTTAAAATTTAAAATTTTGAGGAAAAATCCGTTGGAGAGGGGCTCTAAAAATTATCCAGCGTTATTTTTTTCTGATCTAATGAAGCGTTTCACTTATTATCACCCTTTTTGAAAGGTATTATGCTGTTGAATAATACAATATCAAAAGTTTGTTAATCATAAAAAAAGAAAAAATATCAGGAAAGCGAAAATCGAAAATTTAACCTCAAATACAAGATGGCGACGGTAGAGGCCTTTTAACATAACCTTCCCACTTATAACACATTTCTATGTATATCGCAATTCTAATAAACATTTAGTTTAATCATATTTTGTCTGTAATATACTTATATTTCGTATCATTTCAGTGTGAGAACACGGCCTTGCACCTAGCCATGCGAAGACACCACGAAGCCGTAGCTTTCCTGCTCCTTAAAGCCGGATGCCGAACCGACGTGTTTGACAATGTAAGTATATATCTATGAACCGTGTTATATACGGACAATTAAAATTTGTTTTCTTCATCAATAACCTCGTGTTTTGCTTCATTAATCGATCGTTTTCATACCGTTACGTTCTACGGCGTTTATACTTGAATTCATAAGCATTTAATCACTAATTTTAATTAATTCTATAAGTCACCTTTAGACGACAGATAAACAGGTAAAGATTATTTAATTTCAGATTTTTTTCTGGATTTCCTTTTAATAAATTACTTTTATATCTGATTTTCAAACTAAACGCAAGCAGTTATTAAGAAATAGTAACTGAAATCAGATTAGTTATAAACATGTGATTATCGAAATTTCCAAATTAGTTAGCAATATGATTATCGAAATTGCAAATTGATTTCATTCGAATTTCATAAATCATCGTCAAAAAAAAAGGTACCCATGTAACGACTGCTTAATTTTGAAATTTTCTGTAGATTTCTTTTAAATGGATCTTTAAAAAAATTTCCTCACAATTTTCTGAATTTTTTTTTTTTTATTTATTTATTTTTGAAAAAATATATATGTTATGACCTGTTTTGTTTTCACAAATTTGACACCATGCGTAAAGTAATACTCAAAAAACTTTCAAAGTTTACAACAAAAATACTTAAACCCTTTCACTGGAAACAGAACATAGCATACCCATTCTCTAAACTGAAATCGTCTGCTAACTCAAATATTATTTAGTTCAACGTTTTACCTATAAATCTGTTTATCTCGATTAAAATTCTTGACTTCTGAAATTCTTGACTATCTCGATTAAAATTTTTGACTTCTGAAATTCTTGACTATCTCGATTAAAATTCTGGACTTAAACAGGTTTGTTAGAGGTCACGTTTTCTTGACTTCTAATAAACCTGTTAAATTAAAACTTGATAGTAATTGGACAATTAAATTTTATGTACTGCCCTATTTCTTCGTATGAACAGTCCATAATAGGTAACCTCCCCTAGCAGCGTACGATGACATTTCCGGGCACAGGTTCCAAGGCAATTTTGATCCTGGTGATGCGCCTTAACTCTCCTAGAAGTTTGTCGCAGCATATACATGACTTTCTGTTATATATATAACTTTTTTTTTCAACTTGGATTAAAAATAATAATATAATTTTTTTAAAAAATCTTTAGCTTTAAGAGCAACATTTATTTCAGATTTGAAATCCCCACATCACAATCAGACAGTATCAAAAGTATTAGATTAAATGCAACAAAATCAGAATATCAACAAAATTAGTAGTATTAGTATAAATGCAACAAAAAATTTATTCCTCAGTGTTATTTTTAATATTTTTACAAGTAAATTGTTAATGTGATTTTATATAAAATATTTTAGCATATTTAATTTTTTTTCAATAAAAATTTTGAATGAGTCAATAATTTTTAAGCGTACTTCTCTTCTTTGAAGATGAATGCGTTACTTCCATTAAGAAATGATGCAATGCATAAATAATTTATACGCTGAAATTTTTATACATTGTGAATTTTTTATACGATAAAACTTTTCTTGTTCCAAATAGTTTTACATGTATCTCTCATCAATGGATATGTTAACATTATGCATATTTAAATAACTCGTTTATGAAGTTTATTTCATTTTTATTGCGCTAAACGCATTCGAATTTAATACTAAGTTGAACCTAATCTCAGTTTTAGTACAAGAAATAATTCTCGTCCGGAAAACAAATTATCAAAAATAATGCATTAATATAATAATAGAGCAAGCAACAGTGTAAATATCTGTAAGATCTAACTGCAACCGAGAGCCGTGAAATGCGTGACACTTCATAAAAGATGAAACAATTCAGGTATTTATACCAAAATCCATAATGAAAATGCTGTTAAATTACACAGATTATGACAAATTCGCAACAATAATCTATCATCAAAGTATAAAAGCAAGCTTCTTAATTGGAAAACAGTGTTTTTATTTATTTATTTTTTTCCTGTCTTTCTCACGGGGGAAGAAATCTGATTTTTCTTAAAATAAATTATCCACCTGTAAGACTTAAAAAACGCTCTTATCCCGTGTAATGAGCCGACGGATCGAATCGTGAGAATGGAACACAAAAGCGAAAGAAAAAAAGAATATATAGTTTTCTTCTTTCTCACGTATCTTAAATTGCTTGAAAGACAACTGCCTGACAATACAAGATTTGCGACTTTGGAACTAAGTGTAACTGAGAGATTCGGTGAAAGAAAAGAATGGAAAGAAAACTGTCATTCAGAAACATGTCAGCTTAATGAGCTACAAAAACGTTTATTTTAATTGTTGATCAACAATTGCTGATTGTCCTGTAGCATGAACATGTTAAATAACAATTCAAAAGCAAATTTAATAACACGTTATGTTATTTTTTAATTTTTTATTAACAACCTGTTTTTCTTATAATTGTATAAATCAATCTATTAATTGTCTAAATTATTAAAATTGTCTAAGCCTTTGTTTATCTTATAGTTGTCCAAATTAGGACGCGAGATTTCCTCTCGCCATATTGGCGACGGAATATTTAGGGCTAACGAGTAAATTTTGTCACATTGAATAGCGTGTTCCAAACTCTCGTATTTTCCCTAGAATTAGCTGAGGACAAATATTAAAGAGTATCAGAGCTTAGAAAATTGGTGAAACACGAGCAAAAATATAAGTACAGTGCGTAAAAGTTAGAAAAGGAAAAAAAACGGTTTACTCGAATAACTTTTGATCAAATGATCGGATCTTCACTATCTAGGACTCAATCTTAATGGCTCGAGGGGGGGACTTCAAATTTGCTAATTAATTACTGTAGATGATATTTTAAGTTACGAAATCTGACACAAAAGCATACTTACTCTGAAAAAATGTTCCTTTCTTTCGACAGATTTCTGACCCACAAAATATGGAGGGGAGGGTAGTCGAAATCTGGGAAATATTATCCTCATAGTTTGGTCAGGAGAGCAATTCAAAGTTTGGTCCCCTTAATGTTAATTTTACTTTTTACATATTTCAGTATATCTCGAGAACTTTTCAAGCGAATTGAAAACTGGTTGCACACAATAACCAAACACATCGTTTAACCAAAGATAATTAATGCAAAATATAAGTTTTAGTAAAATTTTATTGTTTTTCATTATTTTATTAAATAATGCACGAAAACCTTTTGAATTGTAAGGTATACAATATGTTACATAATTTTAAAGTATGCAATTTTACAGGGCGAAATGCAAATTTTAAGCGTAATCGGTTAAATAGTTCCTGTGAAATTGACTTTTAATAAGTCGTATATTTAAAATTCGATTTCTCATAAACTATTCAACCGATTTTGCTCAAATTTTGTATTTTGCCAAGTAAATTTGCATGCTTTAAAATTATATAAAAAATTATATACCTTACAACTCAAAAGTTTTTCTTTTATTATTTAATAAAATATATTGAAACTTTATTAAAATTTATATTTTGCCTGGAAATATCTTTGGATAAACGAATTTTATAATTGTGATGTGAAGTCACCACCCAGACAACTACACGGTCCGGTCGGCTCCCTGAAACTTATAATTTGAAAAAATTAAGAAATTACGCTCTAGTTAGTGAATAGAAAAAGAAATGCCATCTTGAATGCATCTGTTAGCTTCAGACATTTTAGTTGTATCTCTTCTTCATATTTCAGCTTTATATTTATTTGCCCAGTCGGCATTCCTATTTTGTATCCGCTAATGATATTGCAAAAATATTTATATGTATGTTTGAAAATTACGGAAGATTCCATCTCAGTTTGATATCGCTGTCATAAAATAGTCGAGAATCATTTTTTTACCAATTTATATAATTTGAACTTTATTTTTCTTTCATAAATATCTCTTAGCAGACGAATAACCATTTTTATTTTTATTATTTTATACATTGTATATTTTGACACACTATTTGAGTGAGGGAATATGAAAAATCTATCAAAATTTAACGATTAAAAGTGATAGTTGGCAAAACCATTAGAAAGTGAAGTAAACAGAGGGTGTCGTTAACATTGCAGCGTATATATGAGATTAATAACGAGTTCAAGTTTATGAACATATTTTTTTTAACGAGGGAAATTTTCGTTACTTTTTCAAAATGTTATCCAGGAAATGAAGATAGCATCAGATATATGTTTTTAATGAAATGATTGGACTAACCCTCTGACCTGATATTTGTTTTCTTTTGATTTTGTGTTAATAAAACCGGTTATCGTGCAATCTCCAAGAAACTTCATCGTCTCTTCTTAAACGATAATTATGTTTTTATTAGCATTTCTTTTCAGCGCAAGGGCTTATTAAAAGTATAATTATAATTTTTGATTATGTTCTGTATTGTATTCTTGCTGTTTGCTCACAAAAAAAGTTTTTTTTTTTTTTGGAAAAGTATATTTAAAAGTTAAATTCGCATCTCAACTTGTAAGGGCATCTCAACTTGTAATTCGCATCTCAACTTGTAATGAGTACAAACGTGCATTACTTTGTTTTATTATACTATTGAATCCGGTTTTGTCATGGAATAAAGGACCATCATTGATTTAATTGCTTTTGAATAGTATAAAGCCCTCAAAAATAAGTACTTTTGGGATTATTATTTTACAATTAATTTTAGCACACAAAGCATTATAGTATTACAACCTTATTGCAAAAGGTTTGATATAGAATTGAGCAATCTTTTCAACTATATTTCCTTGAATTGCCGTACTTAAAGTTATCTTTCTCCAGGAGTTTCAATAATACATAAAACTTACTAAACCATACCTTTAAAAAATTACCCCTATTGGTTTACTTTGGCTAGCCAGATTACCATCCCGTGTGATCACCCATATGCATTCATGGTTTGTGTATTCCAACGAATTTAAACATTGCAGCTAGACCATAAGACTTCTCACACATGGTGAGTCCTCACTGAGTGATTCCAGAAACATTTCTGTTTTATAAATTATTTCGTTGGCCACGTAAATCCACAGGCATGAACATTTACGAACAAGTCTCTAATAACTCGCTATAGTTTTGTTGAGAAGTGTTCTTCACTACTTTACACTCTTATATGGATTTGGAACTTTCTAGCAAGATTCACGAAATAAATTGTCTGATGATGAACACGTTTACTAATGCTCTAACTTTTTCACAATGTAAGTAGTATGAAACTCATAACTTAAAGAAAGCGCTCTTGAAACTTTTAAAAAATATTCATTGATAAACATGCTCCTACTTGAATAAGCATTCACAAAATATTCATTGAATAAACATACTTCTACATTGAATAAGCATTCGCAAAGTATTCATTGAATAAACATGCTCCTACGTTCAATAAGCATTCACAAAATATTCATTGAATAAACATGCTCCTACATTGAATAAGCATTCACAAAATATTCATTGTATAAACATGCTCCAGCAGTGCAGCCATATACTTTAACAGCCTATTTATTAAAATTGAAAACTTTCAATTTTATACTTACAAACTACAAGCTTTTTGAGAATTTTAGATTTTACTTTGAATTTCTTACTCCTTAAACCGGCAATTAATTAACTGTTTGTGCTTCTTTTGTATAAATGGGGCAATTCTCGTAACTTCAGATTCTGTAATTAATTCATTTCGTTGTTTACAGCAAGGAGAAGGACCCATTCATATTGCTTGTCGAGATGGTCTGTTATCACTTGCCAAGGCTCTCTGCTCATCTGGATGTAAAGTTAATGTGCCAAACAAGGTATGTATTTCACTAACTTTAACTGAGGCTTTAGTACTAACTGAGTATTAATTCAGGCTTTTTACAATTCGTATATCATAACTATATTTTTTGGAATTCAAATGTTTGTAATAATTAAAAAATCTTCCTTTTTTAGATGGGCTTTTATCCTATTCACCTGGCTGCCAAAAATGGACATATCGAAATCGTTCGAACTCTCTGTCTTGCGGGTTGTATAGTGGATCAGAAGAACAGAGTAAGTCATAAGCTTAAAATTTAAAATAGTTTATGGATTTAATAAAACTTATGGACGAAGTATTTTCAGACACGGTTTTAACATATTAATGTTTCATGCAACAAAATTAAACTGCAGTTACAATAATAGATTACAATTTTAATCATTTATTGAAAATTATGACATTCTAGTATACTGCTTATAACCAAGATTATACTATATCGTATTCAACGTTTACAAGGAATCATAATCAACATTTACAAGAAATCAAAGTTGCATGCATTCATATAATCATAAGCCCCGATTATAATTTCATTGATTACTTGCTCGTTGCAATTTAAAATACTAACATTTCTGTAGTATGACTGTTTTGACATGAAATTACATTTTATGTTTCATTTAAAGGTATACAAATAAAGTTTAATTAACTATACAACCTAGGCGTAGAATTAGACTTGGAGTAATAGTTATCACACAATATATATCCTTAAATGTATGAGTAGCTGATGCTTCATCGGAAGTTGTTGCTTTCGAAATTCGAAATAATTTGTAATAAATGAAATAAGTTAAAATATTTAATACTTCCTAATAAATGAAAATATTTAAATAGGAAGGCATTCCGGCAGAAATTTCTGCACTTGCTCAAGGATACAACGCAATAGCTGACATACTAAACAGATTGAAAAATGTAAGTATATTTTGAACTTTATGTCATTAAATTATGTATATATAACCAATATATGATGTGTATGAACATGAATTAAATTCTTTAGAAAAGAATATAGTCTTTTTACACTTTTTCATGTTGTATTATTTATTCTTGAATTATTGTTGTATTATTTATTCAAGAAACTTAAAATCATGCTTTTTTGTCATTTTTTAGCAATTTTTCTAAAATCAAAAGGCTGGGTATAAAAATAACACCAAAGTGATCAAATTTTTAATTTCTCCCTTGAGTATAAATTATTTGGATAACATTTTCGTGATTTTGGTTTTGTCCCATATAATTAGAATCAAAAGTCCAAATCCATCTAGAAAATAAATAATTTTTTGTCAGTTTTCGAACTTAAATTATAGTCTGCATATCTAAGAATCTTTAATCATCATATTTAATAATCCCTTCGAACCATTAACATTGCGACTTAAGACGAGAAAATCTATTAATTGAATCAATAGTTGCGAAAGGAGTACTTCCCATTTTACTTCCTAAAAAAGATATATACTTCCAAAAAAACAATTTTTGTGCCAACAGATAGTTAATAACCTCCCAAAGCAATCCTTTTCAAATTACGATACATTTCCTTCCTGTTATTCGAAATTTTATCTATCGTAAAACAGTGGCTTTTCGACAGAATTTTTTTTATCTCTATTAAATTGCATCGAAGTGTTCTGAATGTTTTACAAAATATCTCTGAACAATTTTTTTAGAATGACAAATGAACTTTCCTTGTATGTATTCTAGATGGTACCGACATTTTTTTAATTTTTTTTCCGGTTAAAAAATGCCACCTTTGGCGAGGTGACTTAGTCCCACCAAATTTGCGGTTTTAAAATCGGCTGAAATTTTGTCCTATCACATAATACACCTTCTTGTTATTGAATTTACTTACAAACTCTTTAAATCTTCTTAAGAATTTCATTTTTCAATCTCTCATCATCATTAGTCATGACGAGACAGCTCTGAGTGGTCCAAGGCCTTTTGATTTTCAATATCTGAATCTAAATATTTATCATTCAGTTCAAATTCTAAAGAATTTTTTTAACAGCTCAAACAAAAGAAATCCAAAATAACAGCATTACATTTATTATAAAGAGCTTGCTAGAAGAATCAGGTTGGGGACATTTTCAGAGATAATCAAGGTACGAAAAAAAATGGTATCCGCCCTATTTTATTATAGATTTATTAGAAGTCAAGACTAATTATCCTTTATCCTATTTTATTTACCACTGCCTAATTTGAAATAAAAATCATGCAGCATACTCAAAAGTAATGAGGATTAGATACGTTAAAATTAAAGTGAAAGCAAAAACAATTTTTTTGAGTTAAACATACCCACATTAATGCAACCACTTTATGTTATTTTCTCCGATTCATAAATGCCTCTTAAAATGCAACTTACCTGGTTCTTCCACTAAGCTTTTCCATTGTGAATAACTATTAAATAAATAATCCCAAGAAACTGAAGCTGTATCATATTACTTGATTAAAAAAATTCATTGACTTCAAAAATTTACAAATGAAAATAAGCGGCAACATGTTTCAAGAGTTCAAAAATAGTTGCCCCTCCAAATATAATATGATAAAATAATAACAAAATTTCATCACATACAAATTTAGGACATCTTAAATATCAGTAAACCTTAGTTAATTAACCATAGTTTTAATTCTTTGAAAGTTTGTTATTTGTTGAGTAAGGATTTCAATTTTTCTTAAACAAATTTTGTTTTTTACAATTTGCGTTTTGTCATTTACAATTTTGTTTTACCAGAAATAATCTGAACTATCGTTAGTGAAGAACTGGGGCTCGATCCTTAGTGGCGGTTTAAAGCCCACCCAGCTTCAATTCATAAGTGCAGCTTGTCCAGGATCTAAAGACAATGCTGACCACATTCCCACCATCATGTCTTTGGTCACGAAATTGTGGAACCCTAAACTTCATGGACCCCTTCTAGATCACAACGGGCTCTAGCAAGAATGTTTTGCTTTAAAAATTACGTATAAATGGAAGATTTATAAATAATTTTTGAGAAAACCATGAGAAAACAACTGTAAAATTGTCATAATTTACAACAAATTTAGTTTAAAATCTTTTCCATCCTTTTTACAAACAAGAATGCTATATTCGATTAATTTAAACTTTACCTATGCAATTTTAAACTATTTTGATTTTCTTCTCTTTTTTTGGTTCAGGATCAACAAAGAGAAGAGTACATAAACCAACTCACGTCATCTGTTCAGCCGATTACTAGAATACAACTGAAAGTGCTCGGCCATAGCGGTGTCGGTAAGACAACCTTGCTTGATTCCATGAAGTGCGGTTACTTCAGTTCCTGGTTTAGGAGATCTAAGTCAAATTCATCTTCATCAGTCAGCAGTGGATGCATTAAAATGAAAAACGGTGAGAATAAATCTTTAATTTTTCATGCTTAATCCATTAATCTATCTTAAATCACATAGTTAAGAGAACGCTATACCACGGGAAAAACTTTTCATCGCAAAGTCTCTTTCACCTCCCCAAGTAATTTAACATTTTAATTATAAAAAACAACCATCAGGCAAACCTGGAATAAGCCATGAAGTTTCAAATACTGAAAAGAAATTTTAAAAATCTCAAAATAAAAATAAACTATGGAATGATCACTCACGATTACACAAAGGTGAAGATCTCTTCAAGTAACTTTTTTGCGTTTTCATATTTTGAAATTTCTTTTTCACCAATTAAGGCTTCGTGACTTACTCTAGGTTTGCTTGAACCCATTTTTACTATACTTTTAATTTTAAATTATTTGTGGAGGGAAAACAGAATTTGAGATGAAAAGTTTCTCCCATGGACAGCATCCTCTTAAGGTATCTGCATATTTTTGCTAATTTTATTTTTCTACTACTTTTTTCGCTACTTTTACTTATTGTCTAGATATACAACAGTATAAAAGCAAAAAAGTATGCATACTATGGTTTTTAAAATTATCATTTAAATTAGGGGGAAATGTTTCGAAATGTTCATTATAGAAGTTACTCACATTAAGGGTAATATAAAAGCATTACTCTGGTGTTCAAAATTTACGGAGTTTGCAGATTTCGTCAATTTTTAGAACTGGACCACAAACTTCAATGAAATTTTGTTTGAACATTGGTCGTTATACGTATGTTGGTCTTGGAAGCCTGAGCTTTCATTTTCTAAAGTACAGTTGGCCCAATTTTCATTTAAACAACTATTCAAAGGGTATGGTGTACGTGCATGATGGTGCATTATAACTATAGAGGGAAACAGTTGCTATAGAATCATTATAAAAGATAGGGAAAGCGTTCCGTCTTACGATTGAACAGGCTTTACATCGTGGTTTCATACCGGAAATAAAAGAATTTAGGAGTTAATGTAGCAATTAATCTCACTTGTTCATTCATACTTATTTGAGGATCTGGATGATTTTGAGAAGCAAAGCAATTGCTCTTCTCAGAGCGTCCAAAGTGTATTTTTAAACTTCAGGTCTGAAGTGACTAATCCTTTGGGTGAATATCTTCTCATACCAGAAAATTGTCGCCCAGTATGCACATCAAACAGGATACTTGCCCATGCTATCAAAACCACACAGCCATACTAGCCGATTTCTGGTTCTCGCTGTTGGTTCCTAATTCCATATGAAAACACAAATCACGTAAGCTAGGGTTTATGTTAGGTCGCTACGTTCCATCCATTATCTGTGCAAATTTGATGGTATAAGTGGGTATCATGTTAGATGGCTACATACTCCTATGAAAGAGGCACTATGTCCGCTGAGAAACATAGGAATGAGTTCTTGAAGCACTATCTTTTCCTTTCATAGAAAACAGTTGTCGTTGTTCTTAAATGGATGACAACCTACATCCATACAATTTATCAGGTCGATGATTTTTCGACAAAGCGAAGATATTCGCCATAAAGATTGGCCAACTAGGTCCCTAGACCTGAAGGTAAAAAGACATGCTTGATAATACTGAAAGAAAACACAAATAATTAAGATCAAAAGGATAAAACTTCTTTGAAAANATTCTTTATCGAAATAATTGTTTTATCTTTTAGGCACGCACTCCAGCAAATCGAGCATTGAATCGGACTACTGTGCAAATGACGATCCTTGCTTGTCTTTCGAAACTAATTTCGATAGCTACACTCACGGTATTGACATTCACCAAGTCAATATTTCTGGTAAATATAATTGCACTTTTTTCCCTTTAAAGAAAAATTTTAATGACTTTTGTATTTTATACAGAATTTCTTTGTTACAGGTGTTGGTGATTTGAGTCTGTGGGAGTTCTCGGGACACGAGCCATACTATTTAGTCTACGACAGGTTTCTGGGGAATTGCCATTGCATCCACGCCGTTGTGTTTTCGTTAAGTGAGCCTTTTGATGTTCAACTGCAGCAAGTTATGTTTTGGCTGTCATTTCTGCAAGCAAGAATACCACCCCAAGAACCTCTCGGTAAATATTAATCATATCCTTTTTAATTTTCTGAAGCTTTTGATAGCTGTGAGAAATAATGGATGAGAAAGGTTATTTTACTTTTAAGTCACATTAAAAATGTTGTGTGCTGCATTTATAAATTTTCATTGGTGAATTTACTTTTTTCGTCAACCAATTTCACAAGATACTCAGCTGATGTTTATCGATTGTATCCTATAATTTATAGCAAAAGAGTTGTGATTTTTAAAATCACCCGTCATCTTACAACCTTCCGCAATCAGTTCCTGAATCTGTTTTTAAAAGTATGCTTTAAAGTAGAAATTAGTGTTGTAAAATACAGGTAAGAAATAATGTTAAAAAATTGTTTATTTAGTCTTTTTTTCAAATGAAGTGAATGTGTTGAAACTAAACATAAGATGCATTTTACCTCCAAATATTTGTATTTTTAGGTATATTTAAGCTAAATCGAATTTAAGAGTAATTATAAAATAAATTAAAACTCGTAAGAATTATGTTAAATAATGGGTTATCAAACTTACTTAAAAATTCTATTAAAAATTATATACTTGCTATTGAATAACGCTGGCTGAAATCACAATTCTCGCTACCAAAACTATAGATAGATTGAGCTATAAAAGTGGTATGGTATTTCATTTACTAATAGTCTTTTGGTGTAAGTATTCTTATAGCTTACAACTTTTCAAATATGTATCAGACCTAAATTTAAAGCCTAAATTTACATAATCAAAAAATTGTGGCCCGCAGTTATAAAATTCGTCTGTATAAAGAAAATTCCTTGTAAAAAATAGTTTTTAATAATTATTTATTATTCTGTTTTATCATTTTATTCAATAATTATCGATAAAAAAATTTATTGTAAGGTCTAAAACAATTTTAAGATAATTTTATGAGATAGAATACCAAATTTGAACGAAATCGGTCGAATAATTCCTGAGAAATCGACTTTTAATTGTATAACTTCTTTAAAATTCGATTTCTCTATTCGACCTAATTAGCACTAACTAGTACTAAGGGATGTCACCCCTTCGAACCATTAAGATTGAATCCTTGTACATGAAAATCCAATCATTAGATCAAATGTTATTCAGGGGGATAAGTTATTGTTTTTTTTTTTAGTCCACTGTTATACAGTTTATTTATATGAAGAATCTAATCATTTATATCATTCAATTTTTCTTTTTCATCATTTCAAACCCATCACTTGTTTTCTGAAGAAGAAAAAAACACGTCCTCTTTACATAGCTAGATATAAATTGGTTAAAAGAAGGCACCATAAATGACGTTTTGAAACAGTACAAAATTTCGGATTTATAAACATGTTACATTTAAGTCTTTGGAATCTTTTAATTTTTTTTCAACCAGATCATCAAACAAGACTGTTTTGAATAGCAAAATTTGCTTGGTAAGAATTTATTTGCATCCACTATATTTTCTGAATATTTTTGTTTTTAATATCATTAAAGTACGATCTAGATCATTCTTCCACTAAAGTCTTAAATTATGTTGCAAAATTCAACTTAATTTATAAATTCTGGTGTATTTCTTTTTATATGCTTTCGAAATAAAATCATCTTTGACCCATTCAATGGAGGATTCTGTATAAATAAAATCTCCTTCATTCGCAGGTCCTTTTGGTAAAAGCAGATCTCCAACAAAAGTATTCCTTGTCGCTACCCATGCCGATACAGCTAATTGCCAGAGGAACAACATGACGAATGAATACGTGAGCACAGAGGCAGATGCAATTTTGGAAGCAGCGCTCCTGAGGTTCAAGCACGTGTTCGACATCCATGACGTTATCTACGTGATGGATGCACACGTGGTTGGTTCACAAGCCATGAAGTCACTCAAGCAATACATCACAAATTGCAAAAATGCAATAGTGCAGGTGAATATACCAGATTAAGAAAAGTATTGTATAAGCGTCGGTTATTTGATTGAAAGAAAAAAAAACCTTCTTTGGATGTTTTGATGGATGCAGTTTTTATTAAACTTTTCAATCATTTTGCTTATTAAACAGGATTGAGTGTAACATTTAATGACATAAAGAGCCAGAATCGGCTATACGGTACCAAGGTTATTAAGTATTCTATGGAGGGGATGAGTTCTGTTAAATTAAATTATTATATAGAAGTTTGAGTTAGATGGGGGGGGGGAAACGTAGTTAAGATTATATTAGTTTCAAAATATCTTGATCTGCTTAATTTCGATAAAGTTGTGAAAAAATGTGGTTAACTATTTTGCCGTGCAATTGAAAATCAAAGTAAGAGACAAAAAATACAAAATTGAAATGTTCATATATTTGGCATATTTTTGTGGAAAGCTACATGTATTTACATTGCAAGAAAAAAATTTCAAAAATAAATTTTGTTTTATCAGTTTTTTTGATATTCTATTTTAACATTCACAGCATTGGCAATAAAAGAAAAATAATTGTCAAGCCACTTTTCTCGGTATCTATCGTGAAGCACTTACGTGGTTTTCTTCAATTGCACGGCAGCATTATCAAGTGGCAAACTGTTTTTAAATTTTTGAGTGTCCCTATTATTAAAAGTAACGGAAGGAAATAATATTTATTTACAGATTTTGAAAACCTTATGAAAAACAATATCTTATAAAATATCATCCCTTAAATTCCGATAGTTTATGGCCAATATTTATTTACTTATAGATTAATTCTTTAAAAAAACGCACAAATGATTAAGCTGTAACTTTTTTTTTCTTCTCAATCGCTCTTAGAACTACTTTGATACGATTAAAACTCTTATCGATATTTAATTCAAGAAGTATACCAAATGAAGAAAAAAAAGAAATTAGCGTAAGAAATCAGTTTCCGAATTCCCGGCACCAAACGAAAAAGAAAAACTGAGCTTATAATGTTCTTGGAAAAGCTATAAATGCAAAATAATTCCATTTCTAAATATTGCTATTATTACTTTTGTAAACAGATATTTTTTATAGAAATTAACTTTTTTAAACAAATTATTAACAGCGCAGTGTCAAGAAGTTAAAATGGTAATACTCTCCATTTACAAAATATAATTTGAGTTTCGTTTTTTTTTCAGGATCTGCCAAAACATACTGGATTTTTAGAATCGATGCTAGTCCACCTCCAAAAATGNTCTGAAGGCTTTTGTTTTTAAGATCATTAAAGTACGATCTAGATCATTCTTCAACTATAGTCTTGAATTATGTTGCAAAATTCAAATTAATTTATAAATTCTGGTATATTTCTTTTAACATGCTTTCAAAATAAAATCATCTTTGACCCATTCAATGGAGGATTCCGTATAAATAAAATCTCCTTCATTCGCAGGTCCTTTTGGTAAAAGCAGATCTCCAACAAAAGTATTCCTTGTCGCTACCCATGCCGATACAGCTAATTGCCAGAGGAACAACATGACGAATGAGTACGTGAGCACAGAGGCAGATGCAATTTTGGAAGCAGCGCTCCTGAGGTTCAAGCACGTGTTCGACATCCATGACGTTATCTACGTGATGGATGCACACGTGGTTGGTTCACAAGCCATGAAGTCACTCAAGCAATACATCACAAATTGCAAAAATGCAATAGTGCAGGTGAATATACCAGATTAAGAAAAGTATTGTATAAGCGTCGGTTATTTGATTGAAAGAAAAAAACTTCTTTGGATGTTTTGATGGATGCAGTTTTTATTAAACTTTTCAATCATTTTGCTTATTAAACAGGATTGAATATAACATTTAATGACATAAAGAGCCAGAATCGGTTATACGGCACCAAGCTTATTACGTATTCTAGTTCAGTTAAATAAAATTATTCTATAGAAGTATGAGTTAGATGAAAAAAAAGTAGTTAAGATTATATTAGTTTCAAAACATCTTGATCTGCTTAATTTCGATAAAGTTGCGAACAAATGTGGTTAACTATTTTGGCGTGCAATTGAAAATCAAAGTAAGCGACAAAAAATACAAAATTGAAATGTTCATATATTTGGCATATTTTTGTGGCAAGCTACATGTGTTATATTGCAAGAAAAAAATTTCAAAAATAAATTTTGTTTCATCAGTTTTTTTGATATTCTATTTTAACATTCATAGCATTGGCAATAAAAGGAAAATAATTGTCAAGCCACTTTTCTCGGAATCAATCGTGAAGCCCTTACGTGGTTTTCTTCAATTGCACGGCAGCATTATCAAAGGGCAAACTGTTTTTAAATTTTTGAGTGTCACTATTATTAAAAGTAACGGAAGGAAATAATATTTATTTACAGATTTTGAAACCTCATGAAAAACAATATCTTATAAAATATCATCCCTTAAACTTCAATAGTTTATGACCAATAATTTACTTATAGACTTATTCTTAAAAAAAAAAAAATTAAGAAAAAAACGCACAAATGCTTAAACTATAGCTTATCTTTCTTCTTAATATCTCCTCTTATAATTCAGCTGAAATTTTACGAGTACTTCAGACAATGTCTATCGTCAAAAATGTTTATTGTGAGTACTTCCGATAACATCTATGTACGAGTTGGTCTTTGCTTTTGAAAGGACGATGAATTTAACATCAATCCCTTGGTAGCTCTTAGAACTACTTTGATCCGATTAAAACCCTTATCGACATTTAATTAAAAAAGTATACTAACTGAAAAAAAAAGAAATCAGCCTGACGAATATATGTTAAAATAATCAGTTTCCAAATTTCCGGCACCAAACGAAAAAGAAAAAACTAGACCTATGATATTCTTGGAAAGTCTGTAAATGCAAAATAATTCCATATCTAAATATTGCTATAAATACTTTCAAAAACAGATTATTTTTTTTTATCGAAATTAACTTTTTTAAGCAAATTATTAACAATACAGTATAAAAAAGTTAAAATGGTAGTACTCTCCATTTACAAAGTATAATATGAGTTTCGTTTTTTCTTCCAGGATCTGCCAAAACATACTGGATTATTAGAATCGATGCTAGTCCACCTCCAAAAATGGCGCCAAAGTTCAACTAATTTTCCAGTTATGTCCCATCAGCAATTCTGTGATTTAGTGCACTCCCAAGTCAATCCTCTGGCTAACATCGAACATATTAAAATTATGATTGATCAACTGCAGCTAATGGGAGAGGTAAATAAAATACAATATTTGAAGGCTTTGTTTGAATAATGAGTCAACTTCCCTTCATTTTCAGATACAGAATCAACAATTTTACTGAGTGATAATTTGCTTTTGCATATGTAATTTTAAATAAACTCAGACTAATGAAGAAATCTCACCTTTTTTATTCTTTCTTATCTTAAGGTCAAATCCTCATAATATCTTATTTGTGGTTGCTTTTTGAAACTTACAAAAATATCACCTACTATAATCAAATTTGGTATTAAAAATCATATAGTTAAAAATTTTCATTTGCAGGAAGCAAAGAAAGTGAACACCATAAATAACTTTTGATTTAATGCTCGGATTTTCACGTACTAGTACTCAATCCTAAATAACTTAAACTTAAATATCCTAATTAATTAGTGTTGATATTTTAAGTTGAGAAATCGACGCAAAAACATACTTTTTCTGAATAAACATACCTCTTTCTCGACGGATTCAGATTCTTGACACCAAAAATATGAGCGAGGGGAGCCACAATTTGGAAAATAGTTTAAATAGTTTTATAAGAAGAGTAGTCAGAAGTTTAATGTTAATTTTCCTTTGTGAGAATTTCGCCTTGTCTCGAATCAAGAAAATTCATTTAACTAAAGTTAATTCCGCGTAAAAAAATATTATTTAATAATAATATAATTTTTTTTATTCTTTATTTTAATAATAGCAAATAAATTTTTGCAAGGTATTCAAATTTTGACATCATTTCAAAGAATCTAATCTTAAATGACAAAATTTATGCTCTGAATAGCTTGTCTGAGTTATAAAAATTTTAAAAGTTCGTACATTTAAAATTTGATTTTTTAAGAAATATCCTACCGATTTTGTGTTTAGTTAGTTTCGTGTCCTACCGATTTTGTGTTTAGTTATTTAAAATTGCTTTTGTTTTTTTAACTGGTGTCAAAAATTTTAGAACTTAAAATTCAAAACATTTTCAATTATAATTAAATAAAATAGCAAAAACTAATTTATGTAAACCATTTTTCTCATGAAGTTATCTTTGGAAACATTTTTTATTATTGTATCCAATAAAATTTCGATTCCCTTCCGAAAAAGTTCTCAAGATATAGTGAAATACAGTAGAACTCCAATTATCCGAACTTCAACTTTCCGAATCGCTTTCAGAATTCCTATGGGAATATGAAAATATAGTAAAAAGATAAGTTTCTCTTTATTTTTCTTTTTTTATATGAATAAAATAAAATTTTAGTAAAGCCAAGAAAAGATTTATGCAGAGAAAGTTTACAGGATAGGACAAAGATTTGTGGAAAAGCTAAGATCTTAGCTGAAAAGCTGGATTATTTATCTTTCAAAGCAAGTAATGTCTGGCTAAGGAATTTTAAGTCTAGACATGGTATTCGTGAACTAGATTTAAGTGGTGAAAAGTTATCAGCAGACTCCAAAGTTTCTGACGAGTTTATTGAAAAATTTAAAGTTATAGCAGCCTCTTACGATTCCGACTTCTTATACAACGCCGATGAGACTTGTCTAATATGGAAAGCTTTACCCAAAACCACTTTAGCCTCTAAAAGAGAGTGCAGTGCCAAAGCCTCCTAGTGCTCCAGGGCATAAAGCTAGTAAAGACAGCGTTACTGTGCTTAACTGCCCGAACTCAACTGGGAGCCATAAAATACCCCTTCTGTTTGTAGGGAAGTCAAAACGCCCAAGAGCATTTAAAAATGTCAAAAAACTTCCCCTATTTTATAAAAACCAATACAAAGCTTGGATGACTGCAGCACTGTTTACAGAGTGATACGATGAAATTTTCATTCCTGAAGTGAAAAAAAGCCAAAAATCTGTTGGAAGTCCTGTGCTTTTGATTGTTGATAATGCACCAACTCATCCCACAGAAGAATTGTTGAAATCCTTAAGAATCCTTGAAATTCTTAAGAATCCTTAGAAGAAATCCTTAAAAGCATTTTTTCTCCTCATTTCCACTATACATACAGTAATTATTTAAAATATGCATTTTTTTAAAAAAAAATCCAATTATCCGAATGGGGTCCGGTCTCAATTGATTCGAAAAATTGGAGTTCTACTGTACATGAAAAGGGAAATTAATATTGAAGGGTCCAAATTTTCGCCAGCTCTCCTGACCAAACTCGTGGGACTACATTATTTTATTAAAAACTTCATTCGCTTCAAAAATATACAAATTGGAAATAACAGTCGACCTTTCCAATTTGTATATTTTTGAAGCTTTTAATCAAGTAATATCTTACGCTTTAGCTTATTGGGTTTATTTATTTAATAGTGGTGCTATATTTCCCAGATAGTGACTAGAAGTTAAGATTCCAAATCCGTTAAGAAAAAAACGTTTGTTTATTTAGAGAGAAAAAAAAATTTCTGCTTGATTTAGTAACTTAAATTATCGTCTGAACTAATTAATTCATATAACTAAGGTTAGGTCCTAGAACCACTAAAATTGAGCATTAATGCGTTAAAATCTGAGCTTTACATCAAAAGTTTTTCAAGTTATTTAGTTTTTTGCCCTGTATACTTGTACATAATTCATGTTTAAATGTGTTATTACAAAGTTTGATTAAAATAGTTTAATCTATTTTTGAAAATATTTTTAATTTAAATTTATTGCAACAATAAATAATTAATAATTCAACTTTAACGTTCATAAAAAAATAAACTAAAATAAACTTGTATTCTGAACGATACAAGAACTCTGTGTATAATATTTACAAGTGTGTGACAAGTGTAATATTTATGAATATCCCAATATCCAAACATTGGATTGTCTGAAAAGCTCGTGCCGATTTTGGAAAAAAAATTAAAACGCAGCACATTTAAATTTTGAATAAAGTTATTATATTATAATATAAATGCAGTTACATTCCTTGTACATTTTAGTCAACTTGAAATTTCAATCTGAGTAAAAATTCTAAGGTTTTTCTGCGAACCTTTTCTATGTGTGTCATCACACAAAAGTTGAAGGCGGGGAATAATTACAGGAATTAATTAGGCATGGTTTTTTATCAAGGAATTTTATAGCAATTATCGAAATAGTTGGTAATCTGAAGGTAAATAGTTTTATGAATATGGAGGGTGGGGTGAAACATCCCAATCGAGCTCTAACATCGTTTGTCGAGTATCATAGACAAATTCAATTCTTTATTTCTGGACGCTTTTGTTCATTGTCTTTAATATCATCCGAGTGGAAGAAATACTTTTTCAAATTCCGTAATTAAGAACATGCCCTACGTATATTGTTTTTTTTCAATCATTCTGATATATTTAGATTTGCTCATACATCACTGACTAGCAAAAGTCGGCACATACTTTTCAGATAATACAAGAGCATTAAATATTTAATTTGAATTCAAAAAGCGTTGATTGCTCCTGAGAAATTGAATTTTAAGTATACGACTTTTATTTGTCAGAAACTATTCGACCGATTTTGCTCATATTCGGTATTTTGCCATGTGAAATTACATTAAACTGTATACCTTGCCATTCAAAATTTTTTCGACTATTATTAAATAAAATTGTAAAAATTAATAAATGTTTACTAAAATTTATTTTTTTCATGGAAATTATCTTTGGATAAAAGAATTTTATAATTGTTGGCAAAAATTTTTAAATTCGCCTAAAATAGTTCTCGAGATACGGTGAAATACTTGAAATGTAAAATTATTATTAAGGGGTCCAAACTTTGGATTGCTCTCCTGACCAAACTACGGAGGCCATATGTCCCAGAATGCTGCTACCTGCTACAATTTAATGGTCAAAAATCCAAATCCATCACAAAAAGGTGTTTTTATTTAGAGAAAGAACATATTTGAGCCAGATTTCGTTACTTGAAGTATCGCTTGCACTAATTAATTGGCATATTTGAGGTCATTCTCTCGAACCATTAAGATTGAGTCCTAGAACGTGAAGATCCGTTCATTAGATCAAAAGTTATTCGAAGTAGTCCGTTTATTTATTTATTTATTTTTTGAGCACTGTACTTTATTTCAAAAGTAAACACTTGGTTAAAACTACTCTATTGTTTGCATTTTTAAAATTCAAAATAAAACTATTAGATTACATTGGTGAAAAACTAAAATGTTATTAGCAATGACTTATTAGAGCATTTCTGTAATTGTTTGTTTAATCCTGATTTTTCGCATTTATTTTTTCCGATAGTTGTTATTTTTGAGGCTGGAAACACAAGACCTTATAGTGCTATATCCAAGATGGCTGTGCGTCGACATTATTGGCCACATGCTTTCGCAAGAACATTTAGAAACAGCTAAAATAACTGGAACGTATACCGTAGATGACATCCAGTTACTCTTTCCAGATACAGATGCTTTGGATCTTTTACAAGTAATATAAACGTTTAATGTTCTTTACCTTTGAAGCATGTTGAGTCATAATTGCAATATAAATATTTAAAATAAGTTTTGGTTGAAACACGTTTTTGTTTTAAGCCAATTTAAACGACATAAAAAGCACAATCTAAAATTACACACTGCTAACGAAAAATATGAAGAATGTTCCGTAATAACCTCCCTGAATATGTATCTAATATATGTTTTAAATCTCTAATTAGAAATGAAATTATATCAATATTGCATACCTATCAAAATTATATACTATTTGCGCAAAAAAGACAACATTATTTTTTAGATTTTAACCTCTCAAATCACTCTTAAGAAATACGGGATTAAAAACATCAAAGCCAGTTATTCACCTTCTTTAATATATATCTATGTTTTAAATCTCTTAATTAGAAATGAAATTAAATCAAAATTGCATACCTATCAAAATTATATACTTTTTAAGCAAAAAAAAATCCTTTTTGGATTTTAATCTGTCAAATCACTATTAAGAAATACAAGATTAAAAACATCAAAGCCAGTTTGATTGCCGAAAAAAATTCAAGTGTATGTCTAATAACCGCTTCTTATCTCCTCTTTTTTTCCACCGGCAGCCAAACAGGCTTTGATTTTTCTATCACACTTTCCTCATTGTGATTAAGCAAATTTCTAAGACGTTTTATTTTCTTCTAACTATTAAATATAAATTTGTTGTCCATAAATATTGGAAAAATTGACTCTTGCAAGCTGCCGACATCATTTGTTAGACTTATTTCAGTTAAATTTGTTGATATCAGTGATATTTTCCCATTAGCTTACATAATTCTGGTTTCATTTTTGCAAGAAATGTTTTTTTTCCTACGCCCACCTGGGAAATGATCTTTCGTCAACATCTGTAGGATAGATTTGTTGGCCACTCTTTCAGGGGTACCATATTAAGTGGACCAACATTGCTCCCATAGTAAGGACATATACTACAGCGAATAAAAGAACATCCATGTCTTGCCCGGGATTCTAATCCAGAACCTTTGTGATGCAAAGCCAGTTACCTGACACATACACAGGCCGGTCGGCTTTTTGAAAGGAATGTAAAAACATACATTTAGGACGGCAATTACGGAACACCCTGTGTTCAAAATTTTCCCTTGTCTATTTCCTATTAAATTGTTTTGTGTTCTGCAGGTGTTAGAATCTCTACAATTATGTACGCAATGTGACAGCAACGGAGACATTGAGTACGAGTTCCCGTGTTTCAACATGCTCGATTCCCAGGATTATTTGTGGGAGAAGGGAGATCTTCGATACACCAACGCTGTTTACGGAGGAGTGCGGATACAGAGTTGGCCAGCCGATAAACATCTTTTGAAGTGCGTTATTCCTAGATTGCAGGTAACATTCACCTTTTGAAAATAGTTTGAAATTCTTTAAATTCATAGATCTCAAAGTGATTGATAACTTGTAGAAGAAAATTGAACTAAATATAAAAAATGTTCGTCACGCTTTTAAAGTTTGGATCATTCATTAGTGTCTCAACAAGGGAGCCGGCAGAATAATATAAAAGGCAACAAACTAACCTCTAACAAACAAACAAAAAATACCCCCCCCCCAAAAAGAAAATTACAAATATTCTGTTATTACATTTTGTTTTGTTATTACATATACTTTCATTTGTTAATTTTTTTCAAGATTTCTTCGTTGTTAACAAGATATTTAAAAAAAAAAGTACGAATTTGCAAATTTTGCCACGAGAAACTGTATTGATGGCGCTGGCATAGCTACTGACTTTGAAACACAAATAAATACAAACAGTAGTTTCGTATACTAACGTGTTTGTGCACGCTTAACATTGGTATTTATTGTGTTGATGAAGTTTTACTGTTGTGAGAAGTGAGTTTGTGCTATACACCTTTGTTAAACTAAATAACTAATAGAAGATATAATATTATTTATATTTTATTAAATGAAATTTAAAAATATCGCTTAGATATCTGCCCAAGAAAAAAATCTTGTTTTGACAGTTTATATAAAAAATAACTTTCGGGTGATCGACTTATGAATATATTTTACAAATTGACTGCATTCAATTGACAGCAAACAAGACGATTACAATTCTTGTTTGATTAAACAATTTTTTAATTGTTATGCATCAATAATTACTTAATTATTTGTTTTTTAATAAAAAATTGTATAATTTTTTTTTCTGTATCTCTTTAATTGTTTAAAAAAAGCCTCACANCGTAGGGACCGAGGGTGTGCGGTATGGGTCCTCGTTAAACTGTTCTACCGTAAAGTGCTCGACTTCGCGAGCAGGACGTCGGGCTACCAAAGCAGAGGAGCCATCCCCTCTGCAGAGGATCAAAATTGCGATGGCATGTCTTCGGATCATCCTCAGGGATGTTTCCCAGACCGTCGCCAATAGCCCATTGTGCAGCTCTAGTGCGGCGTATATGAACTACAACAACAACTACAACAATACTATATCATTTAGAATGAATTGACACGCTGCGGAAAATATTGATTTAAAGTTTCTTCAACCAACGTAACCTGTCAACGATTTTTGTAAATAATTTTAAAATTTGATACAAATAAAACTGGTTCCTAAACAAGACGCAGCAAATTATACATGTCTATCTTCTTCCGGTTTATTTTAATGGATTTTTCAAATCATCGGTCATTCTTGGATCACTCGGTATTTGCCATCTATGAAAGGTGCTTAGTGTCAGTTTTTACATTGAAAATCTTGGTAATTTATAATGATGAAATAAATGAATTTTCTTAAACTCTTCATCATAGTTGTTGAACTACCGATTTACGTAATGTAGTTGAGACACTGCATATATCCTTGATTTTTTTTTTAAATCAAACGTGACAGATACTATACAGATAGATACACGACAGATAGATACGCGACAGATTTTAAGATAGTGACCAACTGTGTTTGCAAAGTGTTTTTTAACGTATTATTGCGACGGTTGCATTCATAAGCGTTATCGCTGCGAAATGTTTATTAGAATAATATAAAAATCCAGTTATTAGAACAATCCAAATACGACAATCAATGAGAGTCGAACCTTCTAACCTATGATCAGTTTACAGTTGATGATATTTTCATATATGAGAGTCTGATTAATGATATAAAGGACAGTCAAAGAAGGATTTGAACCAATCTAAAGAGGTAAGGGCCAATCATGGTTTTCGATATTAACTCTAGCTTATTTAGGAAAATTTAAAGATTGAGATAAAGATTATTAAGATTAAACAGAGAGAGAGAGAGAAAGATTTTATTTTAATTTTATAACCGTCGCTGAACAGCAGACCCAATTTTATGGGTTTATGACTACTAATGTCCAACTCAGTAGCCTTGTAATTTTAAACCCAATTCAGAAGACAAGGTAACTCCTGGATCGAGTATTGGGAGAAATTTGCTTTCGTGGAGGACTTTTTCATGGAACTAATACCCATTTGCGTTACATGGAGAGGAAGACCACCAAAACCTCCCACGGTTAGCCTGACGGCAAGGGGACTCTAAACCATGATCCGTCTACCACTCAGGATATTTCAAGTCAGCACTGTGGTCGGTGCAAGCTGGATGCGGAATTCATATCGACTGGGATTCGAACCCGGTTCGCTTCATTGGAAATCGAACGCTCTATCCCCTGGGCCATCGGGGCTCAAGATTAAAGATTGAGAGTGAAATTTATTTTAATTGCAATAGTAAGCCAGGAGCCGTGGTGACTTAAGGAATAGAGCGTTCGCCTCCCAATGAGGTGAACCGGGTTCAAGTTCCAGCCATGGCTGGTCGACACGAATTCCGTACTCGACTAGCACCGACCACAGTGCAGATGTGAAATATCTTCAATGTAGACGGATCATGGGTTAGACTCTTCTTGCCGTCAGGCTAACTGTGGGAGGTTTTCGCAGTTTCCCTCTCCATGTAACGCAAATGCGGGTTAGTTCCATCAAAAAGTGCTCCACGAAGGGAAGTTTATCCCTATACAGGAGCTCCCTTGTCTTCTGGATTGGGTTCAAAATTAAAAGGCTGCGGGGTTGAACATTGGAAATGATAAACCTGAAAATTTAATCGGCTGTTCAACGACTGTTATAAAATAGTTACTGGTTTTCGAATGTTAAATTAAATCATTAAGTTGAAATGACATTATTTTTTGCAGGTTCAGTTAAGAAGGTACTCTCAGAATCATGTTTCCACTGATTGCACTTTACAGCAGTGGAGACAGGGTAGTAATTTCATGTGCAGCAGTATCCAAGGACAAATCACTCTGGGAGAATTCGGTGAATCTGTAGATGTCAAAGTGAGAGCCCCTTCCTTCATGAGAGTAGAAAGGTAAATCACAACACAAAATATTATAAGGTTGTTTTTTTTTCTATTGCTTGATATTGAAGAGCTAAGTGACGTAAGACATTTTAGTAACTTAACTTCAAAATTTACCTAAATGTATTTTTTTTTTTTTTTTTTTTTTTTTTAAGCTTCCAATTCGTATAATATGTAAATCTTTAACACTCGTTGTATCATTCTTATCTTTTAACTTTTTAACTTGATGCCAAAAGAGAGACTTTGTAAGGTTACTCGTCGACTGTTTGTTGCTGAACCCTTCAGTCGGATTATTTTTTTAAACTGCAAGATGTTCCCTTCATTTGGAATATGTCCTATAGCTTCAATACATACCCTTCAGTCGGAATATGCCGTGTAGCTTCAAGATGTCCCTTTTGGAGACAAATTGCGTCTTCATCATCAAATAAAACAAAAATCCTGTAAATTCGATAAATAATTATTAAGTTAATAAGCATTAAAATGGATGGGCTAAATGCACTTAGAACCTTCTTCCACTCCAAAAACATCTAAAGTCCATGACTTCAACTACTGAGATGGGTAAAATGTAATGACTTATAAGATGAATCAATACTGTATTCTTCAATGAGGCTAAAATAAGATATTATTTGCCACGTGGAACCTTCTTTCACTGAGCTCTTCAATCATTCTTTGTTGTTAGAAAATCTCATCAAAGTATAATTCCCATTTATTTTATGTATACCGATGCCTAGCATGTCGATAGAGTGCAATGCAGGTGTCGAAAGATCCCGGGGCTTTGATTGCTATTTCTCCTAAAATGATCACATATAACATCCAATATTTTAATATTTTTGAGTAATTTTTAGACATAATTTTTAAACGAAATCTACTGAATCACTACTAAGGAAGTCATAGCTGAAAAATCTAAACCAGTTTTATTAGCTAATGATATTTAAGGGTGATTCTAATAATCACCTATTCAAACCGTATAATATTACCGAATGTCAGTTCATATTTATATACGATCTATTAAATTAAAATTAATATTCTTTAACCAAACAGTTTTTCACTTGAAATTTTTTTTTTAAATTAAACGTAAAGGAATACGTAGTGTCTATTAAACTAGCTAAACTCGTTTACTCCATTACAAAATTGTTTTAAGAAAGTTCGACAAAGGTATGCGCTATTTTCTTTTCATTCACTTATAAAATTTCCATGTTTCCTAAAAAAATAATAAAGAGTAAACATTAAATTTATTAAACTAAAAACCTAAATAAAAATGTTAGCAATTTCGATTAGACTCTTGCATTACTTCATAATAAAAAGCAATCTACGAAAATCATTGTAATTTCATTAAAATTCTTTCGATTATTTCAGTTTTTACTTCCTGTCCAGTCTTCTGGGAGTCATTGATCAAACACTAACTGAAATGTGCCCTGGTCTCCTCTGCGAAAGACACGCCATCAGCCCTACTCATTTGTGCCAACATTTTATTCAGCCAACCAGTCATCTGTCCCACCATCTACTGACCACACTTCTGGAGAACGGCCTAGACGGTACAGTCCGGTCACCAGACGGGTCCTTGACAGAATCCATGGCTGATGTCATCTGCCTTGGATGTCCAGATATTATCGGTTCGACAAATAACACCGGTGGAGTTATTCTAGGGCCACAGCTCCATGCTTCGAATTTACATTTACCTGTACAACAGAAATTGTGCCAGGTGTTGGATCCACCTGAACCTATAGGACGGGACTGGTGTATGCTGGCCGTATTATTTGGACTGACTGACATGTTACCCCACCTGGATCCTGGTGACAACCCTGCTGAAAGCCCAACAGCACGCATAATGCGCGAATGGCTGAAAGAACCATCTAGTTCTATAGAATGTCTTTTGGACAAATTAAAAGAGCTTGGTAGGCACGATGCTGTGGAAATAATAATGAGAACTGCTCCGTTTATCAAAGTATTTCCCGTTGGGGGAGAAGTTTCTAGTGATGATATCAGCATGCTGTGCAGCATGTCACATACGTCAAGTTCAAACATATCACGATAAAACTACGCTTCTAGGCTAGTTCCCATGTGTCATTGAAAAACGCTAAATACAGAAATAATAAAGGGAAATCTGGAATTATTTTTTTCCTTTAATTTTATGTTTAGGCTCAATATGAATATCTGCAATATCCCTCCGAGATGAACTTTACCTACCAACTTGAATTGACTCAAAGAGATAAACTTGAACATTAACATGTAGGCAGGTAAAATAATACTTCGTACATACTTTTTACCCGAAATCTAATGAAGCAAAAACTAAATCAATAGTTTTCTAGTTAGTTGCAAAGGTTTTAGTATGCGTAACGTACAAAAAGTACAAATTTTGATTTATACCTCCATTGGTCTCCAGCCCCCGAGGCGTGGACCACTTCAGGTCCGTGGATCAAATGCCACCGAACTGCCCAAGTTGTATTGAATTATTTCCATTTTAACTTATTGTGGTATATTTCTCGCAAGTTTGTACGACTTTCCATAGGCGAAAGGTTAATCGGGAGCTGAGAAACGTCAGCTAAAGCCACACCAATACCAAGCATTTAATTATACTTTATTTTAAAAGCATGTTTAAATACAGTAAAATTAAAATTATTAAATAAAAACAATCTAAAATATTAACAATCAACAACCAGTCCACGGTGAGAAACACTGCCTATATACACGTCTATGTACTTTTATCTTAACAAGTCTCATGTACTTTTTTACGCTAGATTGTACTAAAAACAAGTTGATAAAACTAATAGTTTAGAAGCTATACGGGCTTTGTGTATAAAAAATATAATTGTTTACTTAGATATTAGAGAGATTTTGCAAAGCGTTATGGTTTCCGCTAACGTTATTTGAGCTTCACAGCGCATACGCGAATTGCACTGAAGAGTAGAAAATAAGGCTAGTGATACGATTAACGTAAAACAAACTTATATGCAAAATCCCTCTATTATCACACATACAATCCTGATTACTTCTGAACTATTAAAATTATCGGCGTGAATTTCGTTTCATTTTATTCATCGTAAAATTTTGCATAGGAAACAATATCTCACATAAGATTCTTCCCTTTTGACCTCTCTCTCATCATAAATTCAAGATGGCAGGTAAAGCTTGTATCGTAGGAGGAATAAATTTCAAATAACCATATTTGACCTAAGCAACTTTTAAAACAATTTCCAGTTTCCCTGTCATTGTTTCCGTATTCAATTGCTTAGAAACTAGCCTATGATGCCAAAGCTAATCTTTGAATTCGATCGGGGAATTTGCTCAATTCTGTCAAGTCAGTATTAAATGTTTTCGGGTATGCAGCTCTTCCATTTGAAGAATCTCTTGAATTTCATGAGCTTAATAAAGAAAATTGTTTATGTATAATTATTTGTTTACTTTCGTATGGTGATCAGAATGTACTGTCACCTACAGCCCTTATAAATCCGTCCAAAACTTGGGTCCATTCCAATTATTAATTCTTGTATTATTTATATAAAGGATAAGGGTTTCGCTTTTTTGCATGATTTCAAATCAATTATTTCTATTTCAAATGCATTTTAAAATGCTTTATAGTTCATAAATAAAAATATATGTCTATAAAAAAAAACTTCTAATCATTTTTACTGATGCGTTACCGCCCCCTTCCCCCCAAAAAACCCACGATTTAAAGACAAAAGTCAAAGGAGAAATGTGTTTGCTGTGATTTGCTTAGGAAACAAGAGATTGTAATCTCCAACTTTCACAATTCGTTAAAAAGTTAGCCAATAGACGGCGCTGCTGATCCAAAGCTATAAATAATATTTTCTATTGTATGTCAGACCATTCTAACTGAAATATTTGAAAGCTCTTCAATCAAGTTTTAATCATTTCTTGAAGTTTTTGCTATAAATGGTGGTTATTTAAGAGCATTGCTTCTGGTTTTCTAAACAAAATGCAGCAATTTGTCCATTTTCTTGTTTCTTAGTTTATTTTTTAAGTCGTCGGTTATTTTAGGGATTTTATGAAAATACATTAACATTGTATAAACATTGTATGAAAGACATAAAAATTCATATTATATCAAAGTTTCTCTTCTTAAGTTGTTTATTAGCAGAAAAAGTAATAATTTTAAAAAAATTAAGGTAAAAAAAAAATTCTGATCATAAACTTCATTTGATTTTGATTACCAATTTTTGTTCCTTGAAAACAGGATTTTAATCTTTATTAAATGCTGTGCAATTTGATAGCATAGTTCAATCTTGATTTTTGTTGAAAATAATTAATTTTCACTTTTATTTTCAATGACTTAATGTAATACTGACAGTAAAAATTACGATAAAATTGTTAAAATATTACACCATATAAATAAATAATTGCGAGCAATATTTAAATTATTATTTTTTATTTAAGGAATTCATACCCTCAAAAATTAAGATTTTTATCTATAATTATTGTCATTCGAAATTAATGAAAATAGTTCTAGCTTTTTCTTGCAAGGTGTAGAAACTATGATATAGTAAGGATTTTTTAAACTTTTTAGTTCAATACTTTCTTGTGTATGATATGTTATCTTATGCTTAAAGACATCAAGATTGTTGCAATTGAAGTACGAGATTTTGCGGATATCATTTCTTGATCACGCTCTGACAAAATCTTACTTATTACTTACAAATTACTGACAAAATATTACTTATCTTACTATATGAGCTTAAAAATCCATTACACATATAATAGGAATTGTATCTGATTTTTCAAAAAATAATCTATAATTAACTAGCATATTTAAGATTCGAATCACATACCATTAAAGCTGCATCTTAGTGCTTGAAAATTCGACTTCTAAATTTAAAGTTATTAAAATAATATTAATATTATTGTGCACTGTACAGTTACAGTACTCTATAAATGAAAACTTCTATTCTTATTTCTTTATCATTTATCTAGACAATAAAAATTTCACTCAACATTTTCTTAAAGTAGTTTAACAATCAGCACTTCAATAGCAACAATCTTCAAAAAATCTACAATGTAATATACAATACAATTAAAAATATTTTTAAAAAATAAATAAATAGTATCAAATAACAACGCATTCAAAAATTGTACAGAAATTTACTTTTTATAAATAAAATATTAATTGTAATTTTACAGATGTATTATTTATGATTCTGCAATTGACTCATATTTTCAATTAGTAGCATTTGCATGTTATGAAATGAAAATCATTTATTGTTATTATTCAAAAAATAAAAATATTTTGTTTTCAAGGCATTGTTTATTCGACTTACAAGTTTTATTCTTAAAATGCTGTTTTTGTCCTACAACTAAATACTAATAATCAATACATGAAAATAATAATGTAAAATGAAAATTTCTAGAACTGAATTTTTCCAGTAGACTGTGAAGGGGATAGCAGTAATTTTATTTTCGTCAGGCCTAAAAAGTTGTGCCTAATTTTCGAAACCAGTGGAAAAGGTGAATTTTAAAAGGTGATAGAATTTCAATTGGAAACAAATATGCACAATGTTTTTCATTTTAAGCGTGAACAAAAATAAAAATTAATTCCATTTTTTCAGTCTGCTTGAAAAGCATAATTTTGAATTCATTTTATTTCTATTTCAGGTTTTGTATTTGTAAAATTTTTTGGTCGAGAAGTCGTTAAAATTTTGATTGGAGTTAAAATTTTGCTTCCGCTATTCGGGCAGTGTATTTGCATCAAGCACATAACTTCAGTGCATAAGTCCTTTTAAAACTCCAGCTAGTCGGAAACAGGACAGCCAGGTGCCTTGGTGGCTAAGGGGATACATCGCTCGCCTCCCAATGAGGAAACCCAGGTTCGAATCCCAGCAGTGACTGGTTGATACGAGTTCTGCTCCCGGCTAGCACCGACCGCCGAAGCTGATGTAAAAGTTTTTACATTACAGTTTTTACATTATTTCTGGGCGCATATTTTATAAAATGTTAATACAGAATTTTATTCCGTTCTTTCCAAATGTACACTGCAGGGGGTCATATATTTATAGAGTTGTTTTATGATTACTTAAATATATGTAACAAAAAAAGATGAACACATATCTCCTTTAATGTACGGAGATGTATATTGACCTATTTTTCAAATTTAAATTTTTTTTTTTTTTGAGCATATGTCGTATGAACTTTTTTTTCTAAATGAACATTCATAGATTTCGATTAGAGAAGGTAAAAAAAAAAACGCATATTTTATTTAATTTTTAGTTTCGATTTGATTATTTTTTATTTAGAAAAAAAAATTATTTAAACGATAATAGATAAAAAGTTAGGAAACAAAGATGATTAGGTGGTTTTTTTCAAAAAACTTTCCCCATCTAGTGCAATTATATGGAATGCTATTACTAATGACAATTACCTGTTCTAAGTAATTTTTTTGTCTTTATCCTCAATCGTGTATTTTTTTTTCTTCTTTTTCTGGTATTTTAATGTCATCTCAAATGTGAAGTAATGGTAACAGTCATCAGTGGCGTGATTTTCAGATTAAATGCCTTACCAGAAAAGATGTATATTATGCAAACTTGTGTTGTTTCAAGATAAGTAAAATACGTCGCAGTGGCTCAGGAGATAGGAGCGTTCGCTTTCCAATGAGGTGATTCAGATTGGAGTCCCAATGGTACTGATCCTGGGTCGCATCGACCTCAGTGCTGACATAAAATATCCTCAGTAGAAGACGTATCATGGGTTGACATCGGGCTAACCTTGACAGGTTTTTTGGATTTTCCTCTGCATATAACGCGATTGCGTGTTTGTTCCATCAGAAAGTCCACCTCGAAGAAAATTTCTTCCAATATTGGACCGAGGAATTCCCTTGTCTTCTGGTTTGGGTTAAAAATTACAAGGCTATGGAAATGAACATTGATAAGCGAAAACTCAAAATTGGGTAGGCTGTTCAATGCCAGTTATAAAAAACAGTTCAGTAATTTATCGAAGCTATTAACTTGTAAAAAACGGCAGAGTTAAAACAAATTTTATTAAAGGAATAATTAATTATATTTTACTCTGAAAATGTTTTTAAAAAAGTAAGTAACTTTTTAGCTTTTTAAAAAAATAAGTAACTTTTTAGCTATTTAAAAAAATAAAGAAGAATCATTTGTTTAGCTTCCATCAGCAAGAAAATGAACGGTATTTATATGTGAACCATTTATACACCAGAATAGAACTACTTACCTGCAATATTAAGTTATCAGTTATCATACCTCTTATATATTATTTGTTAACATTAAAATTTTGATTTTGAGTCCAATTATTAATCGAAAGCTTGAAACTATACATGTAGATCTTTAATTATAGTATAAATTCATCACGTAAAATTAATGCTATTATGGAACATTTTATCGTAAAGACATTTATGCACCATTTAACAATTATTAAACAATGAATAAGTTCTATACATTTTTTGTAATGTTCTATTTTTTTTTATAATAAAATTTATTAAAAAACTTTCGTTCAGTCAACTATGTAATTAAAATAATGAATGCACAATAATTTCAAATTAAAAAAAAAAAAGCTATATTGAGAATTGACTTTTCTCACGATTGCAAATCGTGAGAAAAAAAAATAATTAAAAACCAAAAAAAGATAATTAACGAGTTTATGGTAATCAAAAAATAAAATAAAAATTCAAAATCAAGTTTGTAAATGAAGTTTTAAATCTTGTTCAATCGTAGAGTCGGAAACTAAATCTACTTAAGTAATCTATGTCGGAAACTCATTTATGTAAATAGAAAAGGGAATTTAGGATTTTTTTTTTAAACTGAATAATTTTTAATTTTAATGTAATAAACTATAATCTTCAAGAAACAAGAAACATATACGATTACGAAGCAAACAGTAGGGTTGATTAGTGAAGCGAGTTGAATGACACTTATGGTATGATGTGATCTGTCCCAAATATAGTACATTTTCTTTTTTCTTTTTCAAATACCCTTACATTTTATAAAAATAATAATTTGCGAAAAAAAGAAAAAAGTCCTACAATAAAGCCAAAGACATAATGTTTGAGTTTGGATAAAGTCGCTTATATTAGACTGCTAAACAATAAACACATTATAAATTAAAAGTGATCGAAATTCCATAGGGGAAAGTATTTTGGCCATAAAGTAACATTTCATGAAACGCTTTTTTTCCCCATGTTCGTGCAGAACGTAGCAATTTCTCCAATGAGAGGGTTGATATTTTCCGATTTATTGAAGCTTATCAAACAATTGAATTACAGATTAATTTTTAAATAAAACTTACAATTTCAAAAAAGTCAACATATTTTCAAAGATGGGAAAATGTGTGCCTCCCTAGGTCTACATTAAAAATAAATTTCTAATCTTAGCACGCCACGGAACCACCATTGCTTTCTCGCTGACTCCAGGAATCATATCGATCAGCCTGCGTAGGGACCGAGGGTGTGCGGTATCGTATTGAACCTCGTTAAACTGTTCTACCTTAAAGTGCTCGACTTCGCACACTGGTCGTCAGGCTACTAAAGAGGGGGAGCTATCCCCTCGACAAGGGATCAAAATTGCGATGGCATGATCATCTTCAGGGATGTTTCCCAGACCATCACCAATTGCCCATTGTGCTGCTCTAATAAGTTGTTGTTGTTGTAGTTCATTTGCGTAGCACTAGAGCTGCACAATGGGTTATTGGCGACGGTCTGGGAAACATCCCTGAAGATGATCCGAAGACATGCCATCGGTATTTTGATCCTCTGTAGAGGGGATGGCATCCCCGCTTGAGTAGCCCGACGACTGCATGCAAAGTCGAACACTTAGCTCTAGAATAGTTCAACAAGGACCAATACCGCACACCCTCGGGCCTTACGCAGACTGATCCAAGTGCTCACCCACCCTCACTCTGTTCGCTGTCAGTGATGCTTGACTTCGGTGATCTGCCGGAACTTAACGATCAGTCCACTCTAGTAAAATAAATGAATAAAAAAAAACTACAATACAAGCTACAAGCGACGAAGTGATCCGCGCTAAGAGACCTGACCTTCATTCTTTGCTACGATTGGGAGAAAGTTGACATTATTTTTATCTTGGCATTATCATATGTAAACAAATGATGTCATGAAAAGAAACAAAAACCATGATACCCTACTTTAAAGCATTCATCTGAGTAACCTTCATAACAAAAGGTGTTCGAATTTAAATGCTCAAATTTTTTCCAAGTTTCGGAGCAATATTCAACGTCCAATCATGAGACCTGAAATGTGATAAGAAAAGTTTCTTAATCAGTATCTCTAAAACATTTTTTTTCTAGAAAGCTGGCTTTTGATTCGTTATAATATAAATAGCATTTTAACTGCAATCAAGGAAGAACTAATCATTTTAAACATGGGATCCAGGGATAAAGTACTCCATCTACTTAGCAATGTTGCTAAAGTATCGTAAGTAGTTTTGAATAAAAATTGAATATTTGTCTTAAGATTTCATTATCTTTTTCAGCGTTTATATTTTTACCACTTATTTTAAATGAAACAACATGTAATGATAATATTTATTCTTATTTAAATTTTTTGTTCATATTTTCCTAAAAATTTATTGGAGCATTATTTTTTTTTTTCTGAACCATTATATTGTAATTTCTTTTGAACTTTATTTCCTTTGAATTGTTTTCATGCCTGGATTATAGTTTTCTATTTTAAAGTAACTTAAATAGTTTTTATACATATATATATATATATGCAGTGCCCATTGCTTTTTAAAATCACAATTAGCACTGAAAAAAAAAGTTTCAAAGTTAACTTTAATAAGGGTACTCAACTGTAAATATTCTGCTCTTATATATTTGAATTGTTTTAATTTACATTTGACACTTTGATTAAATGTGAATTACATTTTATTTTATATTTATAGAAGGATATTAAATTGTTTTTAATACCTTCTCCTACCAACCTGTTTATTATTGTTTTTTTAGCAGAATTTGAAATTTAAGATGCAACATCATATTTAAAGTTATGAAAATTCTTGCAACTTTCAGTAATCAACTCTGAGACTCAAATCTTTTCCTTTTGGCATGTTGCTGGTTAACAATTTGACTCAAAATGAAAGTAAAAATTAACTTTTATTCAAACATGAATCATAGTTGATCATAATCTAGTATTTATTTAAAATTGTTCATTCATATTCTATCTCTGCATTTTGTTTGATAAAATAATTAACATAAAGGATATTCTTTGTCATATTGTTTATCTCATTGAGTAGGTAAAGGTAAGTACAATGGATTCTTAGCTTATTTACATTTAGATCTCTTTTTAATCCTTTCTTTTTTCTTTTTTTTAAAATCTGTGTAGGTTAAAGAGTAAATGATGATCATCGCCGCTGAATGATGGACATATAATAACTATTCTTAATTCATAAACAGCTTTCATTTTGATTCATTAATGTTTCCTCTTATTATTACCGTGTTAGTTAAAATTTATAGATGTTATAAAAATTAAATTATTGTTACTTAAAGTAAAATAATATTAATATGTTTGAAACTATATTACTATATCAATAATTCTTTTATAGTATTTCGATATAAAAAGCAGGCAAATTAAGTAAAAATTGGAATCTGGAATCGAAATATATGTATGTGTTAACCAGTGGCGTACGCAGAATTTTTTCAAGAGGGGTGTTCATAATTTTCTGAAACTACTAAAAGAAATTCGAGTCTGTAATAAAGCACTATCATTTACCTAATTTAGACAGCTAGACAATTTTGACTTTATATTTAGACAACATTGTTTAGCTAAATTTTGATTTGATTTTTTAAGTTTAAGAACATAATGTAATATCTTCTGAAAAAAGTCCAATGTCATATGGGTGGGAAGTAACACTTTGAGGGCCACTTTCACATTCATCAGATTTTGTTATGCTCGAAACGTTTTCTTCAACGGAAGTATCACATTTCTGTACAACAGAAAAACTTACATTGGTACTAGCTGCTGTCACCTCTCTAATTTCAGGTCGTGATTTTTTCTCAAAGTAATTAAAAATTGTTAAATTCTTGCCTTTTGACATCCTAAAGATCCAAGAACAGCGTGATTTTGGTTTCAAAAGTACAACCCTATTATAGTAAACATTTTTTCTGTATTCTGAGAAATACCAGGAGAAAAAAAAAGTAGGCATAAGGCACAGAAAAATATATAGTGTTAAAAAATAATAGCTCGCATAATTTCTACTAAAATTTTTATTTTTGCCATTTTGTCTGATCTCAAGGGGGGTGTTTAAACCCCTAAACCCCTCCCTTGCGTACGCCACTGGTGTTAACAATTGAATTATGTCACAATTTAAAAAATAAAAAAAAGCTATTGAAATGACAATAAAATAGGTTGTCTTTTATAATCAGGGACTTATTTTAATTGCTGCTTTACAAAATTTTTATGTAGACTAACTTTTATGCTTCCATTTAACAATAAAGAAAATTATAACAATATATATATTACCCAGTTTTCTTTTAAAGAGCCATGTTAAGATAATTTGAAGATTCAGAAATTTATTTACAATTTTCAAGTATGGTTTAAGAAAAAGTGAAGATTTAATTGGTAAAATTTTCATTATTATGGGTTTTCAAAAAGTAATAATAATAATCCACATCCGTATCAGGTTTTTACAACCTTATGTGTATTTAAAAAATAAAAAAAAAACTATTTCTCTTTTACTTCATTTAAAATATAAAAAATCTGAAGAAATTATAAGATTTTTAAAATTTTGCTTCAGAAATACTGGAATTAAATATAAAGTTTTGAACACATGAATAATGTAATTGTGCTAATTGAAATTTATTTATACTGTGATATAAAAATTTGGTATGAAAATCAAGGAAAATTTTTTAACAAACTCATTAAAATATGCTTTGTAAATTTTTAAAATTATTCAAAAAATCATTTCATTTAAATCGTACATTTCAATTATGATTTATATTAATGTACTGTTGTTTAAAATAATTACTCTTTAACCATTGACCTCAAACTCATTGAAGGAAAGGAGTTGTGGTTGCTTTTCTGCATGACCAATTATTTTTCCTCCTTTATGTTGATTAAGAGAGAAACAGTGCTCATTAGAGAAACATTTGTGTGATTGCCTGTCAGTTAAAGCTGTGCTCCCCAAACTGTTTATCGCCGCTGACCAATCAACTCTTGATAATTTTACTACAGGCTGCTGGGTGATGCGGGACGTTGATTGTTTGTATCTTAGATTGTTTTAATTTAATAATTTATAATTTTATTATATTTGCCTAAAAATGCAAAATCATGCCTTCAAAAGAATTACTTGCGCAATATTTATGTGCCAGTTGACTTCTTACAGCTACCGGTTAACCTCTTGTCCATGAAAAGTTAAACAAACCTGAGAGAAATACACCACAGTAAATAAAATGGAAATAATTTAATGTTCCCTACGTAGCCAGGTACCATTTGATTCCTAGACAGATCCTATACTTCTCCAAGTCCATGACCCGGGACTTAGAGACCGCACAGCATTTGTTATGGCTCTAACTTTCACAGCATAATTAAATGCATGTAAATTGTTATCATTTTCGTTTAATTTTAATACCTCTTTAATTCAATTTAGGTGTCGCTGCCCAGCTCATTCAAGTGCAGTTTATTTAAGAGGTAATAAATTTGACTTTATAATTTTTTTTATTTATTTATGGTTTATTAATAAGGTAAACACATTTATCTTTAAACAGGTAGCCATGCTGCTGTTCCAAAGCCAGTTGCTGGCAAGGATTATGCTTTTGAAGTATGGGATAATTGTTGTGAGAAATATCTGGTCTTTTACTGAATTTGCAGTGAAACTTTTCTAAACATTTGGTTTCTATTCGATGGTTTTATTAATTATTAAATTCTAATTATTTAATAATTCCTAAGTTAGACAGTGTTAATTCAGTTGGTCTCAAATATCTCTATTTAAAAATATATTTTTTTTTAAAAATTCTCAAGTTTCTTTAACTGCGAATTTTTTTTTATAATATTATAATCGAGTCAAGCTCACATTACTTACTAATTATTTTTCATGGTTATATAACAAAAAATTACATCAAAATATTGGATAAAATTTATTTAGTCTATAATTTTATGTACTAATTTATTTAGTCCCGTTTCATGAGTATGCTAAAATAATTCGAAATTAATTGGTAAATAATTATTATTTTAAATTTAATAATTATTATTATATTTAATATTAATTATTATTATATTTAATATTAATTATTATTATTTTATTGGTATTAATTATTATTATTAAAATACTGGGATAAATTTTCTGTAAAAGTCTTATAATTTTTATTTACATGCAATACATTTTTAAATTACAAAATAAATAAAATGTTTTATTTTAAATTACAATAGAGAATATTACAAATCGATGTGTCTTGTAATGTGTACTTCACTATAATATACTATATTATACTATAAATAAATTTTATTGTAAATTTTAATAATCTTAGACATGTGAGTCATAATTTTTAATAAATTTTATTGTAAATTTTTGTTAAATATTTTACTTAATAGTCTTAAATAAAATAAATTTAAATGCATATATATCTAAATGTGAAAAGTAAGATATAAGATTGAAAAAAAAAGGTTATTAAAGGCCAGTACTTTTTTATGAAAAGAACAGTGATTTACTTTTGTGGTACTGGTTATGAAAAAAACATTAAAAATGTATTTTTCATTGTACTAAAATCGAAGTAGAATGAGAATAATTTCCCTTAATCATCATTTATCTCCCTTTATGGTGGTTTTAGAAAAGTTTCATTGCATTTGTAAAATTATTTAAGTGTTCACTAGTTTTTAATTTTTATTTATGTTACATACTTATTACTTAGTTCGAATTTTCATAGTTTATATTTAAATTGTTTCTATTTTTTGTTTTATATAATTCATGATTATTCATGCAAATTAGAGAAAAGGTATGGATATACCAAAATTTATAAATGCTATTAAAGGCCATTTATTATTAAAGGTATGCACGTATAACTCCACTCCTTATACATAAAAACGCATATAAAGTACTGCTAGCAAATGGCCAATACTTCTAGAAAGTGTAGAGAAAATATTATTTTGACTTTACTTAATATTTAACTATTTCCAGAGCTAAAATGATGATGAAGCTCCACATGCATAACCAAAAGGAATTTAAAATTTTTACTGCATTTCAACTTCCCGAAAAATTATTGATAATTCTTTTTCTGAAATCTTTAACTCAAAATAACATATGTTCAATTTTATTTTTGTGTAATAAAATTATTGAATTTTTCTATGATCTGTTATTGCAATTGTATTTAAATTTGTTTTACAAATTAAATAAATTTTAGTCAAATGCTTACAAGTTATATGTATTTTTTAGTACTTTTTTCTTTTTTGTTGGTTTTATTTGTAACATCTTCAAATAATTTTGAACAAAAATTTTTATGTTTCTTTACAAATTTTTTCGAAATTTTAAAAAAAAAATTTTTAATGAAGATTTTTTTTTAGTATTTTTACTTATACTGATCAATTACACAAATCAAGCTTATTTTCTATAGCAACTATTCACATTTATATCAATTTTGGAATTATGCATAATTCTCAATCTGTATAAATGAAATCGAAAATGTTTTGACTACTTGAAATTTCTTCTTTCAAATCTACTTTATGGGTTTATCAATCTGTTCAGCAATTACTTAAGTTTACTTAAAAGATTCATGAATAATAATAAATTTTAGTTACTAATGTTGAATACTTTATAAATATTTACTTCTAACAAAAAATTGGTAATAATATTGTAATATTTTATTTCTAAAATTGCAATGTTTTATTTTTAAAGATAAAATTAACAAATGATTTATACTACTGATTACTAACCAAGAAAAATAAATTGGGCACTTTAAGATTAAAAAATTTCTTCATATTTTTTTAGTATACTATTGCTTTAGTGCTACCACTAGATAACTCAGAAAATGAACCGAACTACTTTTGAATGAAGACTGTTTTTAAAATTACTGACTTGTTACTAATCATTTCTTCAAATTTTCCTCCTAACCTTCAATGTATTCTGTAAAAATATCTGTTGTATTCACAAAGCTAAAAAAATTCCAATTCAAAAATCTTTTTCCTTTAAAGAATTATTTTTTTGATATGTATTATAAGAAATAATAAATTATGACAACAACTTATTATGAAAACTAGTACATTTCTGTTTATTTTTATTATTTATTTAAATAATCCTGTATTGATCATTTAAATTAATCCTGACCCTACCACAGATAAAAATAAATTACTGTCATTTTTTACATTCATTGCATTTCTTTTTACAATCTTTTCCATTTTTTTAACAGATGGCTTGTTCAAGTGTTCGATACGGACCTGGAGTAACACAAGAATTAGGAATGGTGAGAAATTGTTTAATTTGATCAAAATGCTGACCTTGTTCTAATACAAGCAGCACGAGTTTAGTTGTAACTTAAGTCTTTGCTTATTTCTTTGTGTCATCTTTAATGGTGGTCAAAAAATTTTTGGTACTAATTTTAAGAAATTGTACTTACTGTTTAATTTTTAATCCCCTTTCTTAATAACTTTGGAACATAAAATGGTGTTTTATGTTCATAAATTATACAATATTTGAATTAGCTCTAATCAATTAATCATAAAATTATGTATCACATATTAAATTGCATAAAATGGAATTGGCACTAAATTTGTCAACTCTTTGACATTTTCCAGGAGCTTTCTGCACTGAGATCCAAATCCTCTACATTTCAAAAACATGCATCAATTTTTTTTTTTTAATTCTAAGTATTACTTATATAAACACAAACATGTCTGAGTGCTGGCTCTCCCTGTCCAAACAGGGATATCAAGAATTTTTTCTGTCCTTCAGGCTATGTTGTAGATCATAAATAATACAAAATATATATGATAAGTATCTACTAATACAAGAGAGGCATCATATTATTATTTTATTTCAGATTTATTAAAACTGATTGTGCTGAAACACTTTATTCCAATATCTATATTTTTAGTTCTTTGAACAAGGTATAAAAATTTAAAACAAGTAAAATTTTATGAATTTTAAGAAAATTGAAGGTCTACAGGTGTAAATTTGTATGAAAATGTCATTAATTATATACGCAAAGTTAAAAAAGTTTTTTGCAAATTTTTCAAAAATGGGAGTTGACAGGTACATATTTGTGTTTAAAAGTCAGTAATTATGAGCCAAAGTTTTCATAGTACATAGTACAAAGATTTCATAGTACATATATTGAACTAAGGAAATTTAGTTTCCACTGGGCAGACTTATATAATATGTGACTGGGTGGCGCAGTTGATTTTTCGCCGGCCTTCTGAGCCCAAGTCTGCGAGTTCGATCCCCGGCCCAGACACCGGATTTTCGGGATGCAGAAAATCCTCAGCGGCCATGTCGTATGATTATGCGATGTAAAATATCCCTAGAATGCCTTATTGGCTCTTGGCATTTCCGACAAAATTAAATTCCTAATGCACTTTAGCATCCAAAGAAGAGTCTCCGAGCTGCCATCTAGTGTGGCAGAAACTAGACTCTAAATTAACATGGTATCTCAACCATTGTGGTTGTCCTGAAAGAGTGGATACCACTTCTGGAGAACGCACTAGGTCTGCTCATGTGTGCGCACTTGTGCAGCTCATTGAAAATTAAAAAAAAGACTTATATAATACATGTCTCATTGAGATATGTATTATATAAGTCTGCCCAGTATTATATAAGTCTGCCAGTCGCATATAAGTTTCCAGGAATTGTCGGATGCATTTTAGTCATGAATTACCTCAATTTTTATTCAAGAAATTGCAAAATTAATTAATCTAAGATAGTTTTGAAACCAACATTTTAACATAATTTCCATTGATTTAAATTCCTATGATCTAAATAATACAAAACAAAAAATCTCTTGATACATTCATTCTTGATTCTTGGGGTATTCGTAACTAATTTAGAAACTGTATACCTGATAGTCTTGATTTACGAAGTTTTGGAGCACTGCATACATTGTTGAATTTCTCTAGTTGTATATTGTTTCCAATGTATAGTTTTAATACCTATTTATTATATCTACTGGATGCATCGATAACTAGACTGTCCTTAACATTTTATTTATGTTTTAGGATTTACAAAATATGAATGCCAAAAGAGTATTGGTTATGACGGACTCAAACCTTGGCTCCCTTCCCCCGATGTCTCAAGCTATGGATTCTATAAAAAAGTGTTCGATTGACTTTGATGTTTTTGACAAAGTTAGAATTGAGCCTACTAATGATAGGTAATAATGAAATGTGATTTCCATTCTAATCAAAAGTTGTTTTATTGCAAAATTATTGAATATGATTATTGTTTCGCTTTTTTAATATTATTTTAATGTATGTTTGGTTTGTATATAAATATTATGATTGGTTAGTTTGTAAATATAATGATTAACAGAGAAATTAAAAAAACTCAAATATTTTTACTAATAAATGCAATTTCAAAAGTATATCAGTTAGTTATAATTGTTTCAGTTAATTTTTTAAGCAATTTTCATATCCATTTTTAAACTTAGAAAGAAATTTTTTTTGTGGTCCACTATAATAAGTCAAATTTTTCTCAAGTTATTGTTGAATGTTATTTTAAATCCTTTATAAATCAACCATAATTAAAACTATTTTTTTGGAAATTTTCTATACCCTTATGTTCTGTATTAAAATTTACTTAGTGAAATAATATTGAAAGCTGACCTAAACACGTTTATAACTAAATCATGGAGGAAATTAAGGACTTTTGTAACAAATACATTTGTAAAAGTAACAAAATGAATTTTAAATGTTGAAATAAATATATAATATATAATGAAATAAATATGTTTTATAATTGCTTGTATGTGTTTATGTACTGATATTTTAAGAAAATATATATAACTGGCATCTATTGCCAACAAAATATGCATGTCTGTTTGTTTTGTTTTTTTTTTTGTTTTTTTTAAAAATAGTTTAGCATTAAATTTAACAAATTGTAGCTTATGCTATTAATCTCATTTCTGACGGTATGTGGGGTATTAAACAAAATTTTTAAATCGTATTAAAAGTTTAACTACATTTATTTTTTTTTAATTGATAACATATTGGAAATATATGAATAACAAGGTACATATAAGAATCACAAAAAATGTGATATTTTATTTAAAATAATAAATAAAAAACAATGACTCATCCTCTTCTTTAAGTTGACTACTAAAGCAATGCACCTCAAGCATTCATCTTAAACTGGTTTCATAGTAATTTTACCTTATTAAACAGCTTTTTATAAAATAAATATTGTAAGTTATAAAACCAAGCATTTTCCTGTTTAGAAAGTTTGTGTAGAAATTTCCCCTTAATGTGCATTTTGAATAACGAGGGGAAAAAAAACTGTTTTTTTGTCAGGAAAAATAACAGGTAAAAGGACAAATGTACAGTTAGTTAAATAAAATTCATTTCAGAATTCAAATTCATAATAATCTTATTTTACACCTTAAATGTTAGATTAAAAAAGTTATTCATGCAAGCTTTACTAAAATTCTTCAAAAAAAAAAATTACTAAATATCAAAATTTTTGAATGGTATAATATTAATGATGCCCCAATATAGTGAAAAATTATACACATGTGTCAATCTTAAAATATACGAAATATCCTCAGGTTTAGGTTGCTAGTATAATACCCCTCGTTAGTATAATAAGTTCATTATTTCTTTTAATTAGCGTGATTAATCAATTTTTTTCTATAGCTTTAAAGAAGCTATTTCTTTTGCAAAAAAGAGGAACTATGATGCTTTTGTTGCAGTTGGAGGTGGATCTGTAATAGATACATGTAAAGCTGCCAATTTATATGCAGCAGATCCTGAGGCTGAATTTTTAGATTATGTGAATGCACCCATTGGAAAAGGAAAACCTGTCACTAAGCCTCTCAAACCTCTAATTGCTGGTAATGAAAGTTTGTTATTATATTAATTTTTATACTACTCACTTTGTTCACAAACTCTTTTTTTTTCTTCTATTTTCTTATTTTTTATTATTATTATTATTATTTATTCTCAAGTACAGCAGAACCTTTCTAATCCAAACTAATTCAAACACTTTCCAGTTTGAATCCTAAAATTATAAGAAATTCTGATTGTAATTGATGGACGCCCAGTGGCTGAGTGGCAGTGCTTTGCACTTCCGTGCCACAGGTCCTGGGTTCGATCCTTGGGTCGGGCAAGGTTGACTTAGCCTTTTATCCCTTCAGTGGGCCTATAAATGAGTACCAACCATGCTTGGGAACTAAACACTGGAGTTCCGCGTTTGGCTGAGCACCTAACCGGAATATCTGCTCCTGCACCCCAGAGCCCAAGGTCAAGAAAACTGAGATGGTCACAGTTGGCCTTAACTCTCTATGGGCTATTCTGCTACCAGTTTTAGTTTTTTTTTTCTTTTTAAGATTGTAATTTATGATTCACACAATTTTTGACAAGATAATCAAAGACATGGCTTTGTCTTCTAATCGTGTTATAATCCAATGCACTAAGATTTCCGTGATCTTTTTTTTATGAGACAGAAAGATTGATACGTTTGAGCATTTTCATTTCTAGCACCATATCAATTTAAAGGTGGAAACAATTGTAATAGTACCTGATCACTTTCAGACATTGAATCATAGTTTTCTTCATTTGATATGAATTAAGAGTCTCACACTTTAAAAATCTTTTTCAACACTGCGTAAATCTGCGTTATTTTCCCTTTTAAACTATATTACACAATTTATTCTTTTTAAATGAAACTTGGACAACTCTAGTACTTGATGATATTATATAAGTTTTTTTTTATTGCCGCATTTAATGTCTTTGCCTAAATTAAAGTCCATATTTTTTTTATGGTATTATATGGTTCATTTTTCATAGTTATTTTATGAATATATCAGCTCAGATCAACAGAATTTATTTTACCTGGCAAACCTTACCTATTTTGCAAGGTTCTACTGTAAATTTATGTGCAATAAACTAACATTTATTTTGAAATTTTAAGTGCAAAATTAAAGCTTTAAACCTATTAAGTGTTTGAAAGTTTCTTTCAATGTATATTTACTAAATAAAAACGTAAGAAATAGAAACAAAAAATTGCAGCTAGAATTAGTAAAGACTTATTGATTAATATAACTAGATTATGAATTTATTTTTAAAAAATTACTCTTTTGAAAAGTAAGATTTTAAAATGAGTTAAGATTCGAATAATAAAATTCAAGATGCTAGTTTTGAAGTGTACTATATCTTAATATGGCATATTCTGATCTTAATTTTGGATGAGACTTCAAAATTTTTGTATAAAATTCTTCTAGGAATGTTTTTATAAAAAAAATAACTGAAAAGTTGATGTATCTCATTTTCTGTAGAGTATTAAGCAATGCTTCCCAGATAAAATTTTACAAAAAAAAAAAATTATGCTTTTTTTGTACTTTACTATTTAATTGCAAATATATCTTACATATTTTTAAATTTAACAATTATAAACATTCTATTTTACCAAATTTCATTTTAAAATCTTCAAATCTCTTAGAAATATTTAAGAGTAATGATCAAAAAAAATAGATAAAACAATATTTCTAAAATTTAAAAAAAAATTATTTGGTTTTTTTTTTTTTAAGTTGTTTTAAAATTTGTTTTTCATCATAAATGTAATGTGTTTTAGTGCCAACAACTGCTGGAACTGGAAGTGAAACTACTGGTGTTGCTGTATTTGATTATTTGCCTCTAAAAGCCAAAACAGGTTAATAACTGAATATCTTTCGTTCAAATGAATGAAAATAAATGTAGTAAACTTTCAAATTGTATGAAAGCTTAAACTTATATAAAAAAATATTTATTATTGCAAAGATATTGAAAAATAGCATATAGAATATTGAAAAATAGCATATTTAAAAGCAATCTCATCTTATACATAAATATATAAATTTAGCAATTATTTCTTATTTAAAGTTGATTGTTTATTTTTCTACTTAATTGACAGTAAAAAATTAAATCATCCATTTTTCTTTCTTATTAGTGTTTCTAATATTGTCAGTGATAATGTGTATTCAACATGTTTTTTTTTTCTTTAACTTGCATTTATGTCTATTTTTTGATCAAAAACTAGATCAATTTTTTTATCCATTTTTTGATCAATTTTGATCAAGTTTCGACTTTTATTTATGAAGGGAAAATTAATATGAGAACTTTTTAATTGAAACTTGAGTAATTTAAACGTAAAAAATCTTATCATTGATTTGAATGTCATATTTAAAGTAGGTAATTTTCTGTATTCAGTACAAAGCCCTTTATATCCAGCTACAACCTTTCCCATACCGCATGTTACTGCTTTCTTTTTCCAGGGTTGGCAAGGTTTTGGACATATGAGGAAATCCACATTAAAAACTGTATTATCTAAAATCTTTACTTCCTAAACTCTCTTAAACTGTCCAAAACTTTTCTGTCATCTTTAGTCAATAGCTACATTTTGTAGAATTTTTATTTAATGAACACAAGTATTTTGAAAAATTAGCAGTAATTCTTAATATCAAACGAAAAACGTATTGATTAATGTTAAATAGCAATCCTTTAAATACATTCAATGAAAAATGATTGAACTAAAAATAATTGGTTTATTCTTTCTGTCTTAAACTGCCCACACTTTGTACAATTTAGTTTATGTGAACAATGCTGAACAGGCAATAACTAAAACAGAAAAAAATAACTTAAATATGTAGTTTTTTGACTACCGATCTCATCGTCAAAATATTTTTTTGTTTATTTATAAGGAAATGAATGTACTTATTTTTTAAAATAAGCATTAATTAAGTTCATGCTAATTTTGTTTTTTAAAGTTTGTGCTAAGTTTTATAGATGTTATTTGAGTTCTTGCAACAAAACTTTTGCATAATTATATTTTTAAAATTTATAATGTTAAATATACATTGAATTTTGTGTTTTCAATTAATATTGAACTAATATTTAAAATTAAATATCAATAAAATTGATGAGATATTTATTATTTTATGCACAAAAAGTGCATAGTGAATTATATTTATAGTTGTTTAACTATTTTCAGAATTATTGGTATTAGATAGTTTAAAAAGTCATTCAAATTGCACTGATCAGGTTTTCAATTCTTCTTGTCATTTCCATGGGATGGAGAACTTGAATAAAGAATCTGATTGATGCAATGTAATTGCTCTGACAGATTCAGATGTAATGAAAATGGCTTCTGAGACTAAGTTTTGTGTGTCCTGCCTGAAACTAATTACGGATATCAAAAGCCCTAAAATCTCGAATTTTTTAACTGAAACTATACTTGTTATAGCATGACTCCATATTTTTAACTATGTTTAAATAGTTCAAATCAATTCTTGGTTTTAAAAGTGCAGCCAAAATCCAACTCTGCATCTGAATACACAATCTATTTTAAAACTTTTCTCAGCTTTTGAAAATTTTCAACATTTATAAAAGGCGTTTCTGGAAAGTAAGTACCGTTTTGCATAAAAATATTTGTTTCAAAACAAACATTTTTTTTTATATGATATGGCATTTAGGAAGCTATTTCTGCATTATTACCAATATTGTTTAAACATTTGTCATAGTGAGGAATCAATTTGTCTATACACTCTGCAATGAAAGCGAAGACAAATACTACCTTCAAGTAGTGCCTGTCAGCATCAGTGGTGTCTGAAGACAGGCTACCCTTTTTTGCGTCGTCATCAATGTATGATAACCTCATGCAAAGCAGTTTTTAGAATTTGTGGAAACTTATCACCAAGTATTCTTATTGTGGTGAACCATTAGTTTTAATGAATTTTCTTGTTCACTTTCTCAACCAAACCATCATTGACAACAGAAAGATGCCCTCTCCATGCTTTGTTAGAAACTGTTGCAATCATCATTGAGTTATCAAATCTATTTTCGACATAAACATCAGCTTGCTTAATACTCTTTATGTTCAAAGCTGTATAGATTGCACTTAACAGTCAGCATTTGTTTCATACATTTTAAATGCTCACTAAAACTTGGAAATGCAACACAATTCGACTCTAACACCATCAGTGAACAGACAATCAACCAGAGACCTGTGCATATGTGTAGAACTGTGGCGTAACTACCACTATAAATATTAAATACCAATTCACTAAGATATAAGACATGCTAACTTGGTTCAATCACGAGGTACCTTTTGACAGATGAAAGCTAACATAGTCTATAATTAAATCCCCACAATGGTGACCTGCGGACAAGATATGAACTTGCCAACAAAAATGGATGGTCCACATTAAACAGTTGATTTGCTTAAATATACTGCTCAAGGAAAANGGGGGGGGGGGGAATCCGGTGAAGTAAATAAAGTCTCCTGGTGAATAAACCAAGAAATGAAGGGAAAAAATAATAATGAGCGAAATGCTATAAACAAAAAATGAAGGGAAAAAAATGAGCAAAAATTAATATAAATAAATAAACAGCATGAATCAACTAGTGGTATCTGTTCATCGAATTTTATCACAGATAAAATTCTGGAAGGGGAGTAATGTGGCGTAACTACCACTATAAATATTAAATACCTATTCACTAGTATATGAGACATGTTAACTTGATTCTATCAAGAGGTACCTTTTGATAGATGACGGTTGGCATTGTCGATAACTCCGCCCCCACAGAACTATGATATTACAGCTGTGGTGGTGGTAGAATAAAACGGTTCTTACTTTCTGGACTTGCCTGGTGAATAAACCAGGAAATGAAGGGAAAAAAATAATAATGAGCGAAATGCTATAAACAAAAAATGAAGGGAAAAAAATGAGCAAAAATTAATATAAATAAATAAACAGCATGAATCAACTAGTGGTATCTGTTCATCGAATTTTATCACAGATAAAATTCTGGAAGGGGAGTAATGTGGCGTAACTACCACTATAAATATTAAATACCTATTCACTAGTATATGAGACATGTTAACTTGATTCTATCAAGAGGTACCTTTTGATAGATGACGGTTGGCATTGTCGATAACTCCGCCCCCACAGAACTATGATATTACAGCTGTGGTGGTGGTAGAATAAAACGGTTCTTACTTTCTGGACTTGCCATGTATTTAATTTTGACTTAAATGGAACTATTAATTGTGTTTAATTTCTAAATTTCTTGTAAAATTGATTTTCTTTTGTGCAGGTATTGCCCATCGAGCACTTCGTCCAACCTTAGGAATCATTGATCCTTTGCACACACTTCACATGCCAAACAGAGTTGCTGCATACTCTGGGTTTGATGTATTATGGTAAATCCATCTAATATCAATTCTTAAAAGGAAAATGACATGTTAATAATTATTGAATAAACCAAGATATGTTAATTCTATTTGTTAATTCCAGTCATGCCTTGGAATCTTATACAGCCATCCCTTACAACGAAAGATCACCGTGTCCATCTAACCCAATAATGCGTCCGGCATATCAAGGAAGCAATCCCATAAGTGATATTTGGTCACTAAAAGCACTCAAGAGTATGCAGAAATACTTTATAAGGTATCTTCTATGTGTGAATGTAAATTTAAATAATATACCTTTTAGTTATTGGTTTTCTTGCATATACTAAAGATATCCTACTTTGATACTCATTTTAAATAAATTATGTCATTAACAAAAATATATCTTCAGATTTTTTTTTGTATCATAGTGACTATGTGTAAGTGTGAATATAAATCATGAAAAATGTTTAGAAATGTGTGATGGTTAATGTATTAACATAAATGCCTGGAAGTATGTGTTTTTAAATAAATATTTTGATAAAATGTAAATGAATTAATTGTAAAGATATTTGAAAAGACAAGAAAAAAAAGGATTGATTGTCCATAGATTACATATCTTCTTAACTTTGATGCATGATAATGAGTACTATAATATAATCATGAAGCCATGTATAAAAATATTCATGTTATTATATTCATTTTTATTGTGGTTGTTATATGCTGGGTGTTCTGAAATATATATTTTTTAAATCCTTATAAAGAAACAGTGGAAAAAAAGTATACACAGTTGGGGTTAGAAACAAAAATGCTATAATATCTGTTGAATTCCTAGTCAGGAAAACAAGTTTAAAAAATCCAGTTTGTTTACCTGATGAAACTTGGAAGTGTTTTTAATAATCCTTATAGCTTCTCTCAATTTCCTCTGACAATCAAACAAGTTTGATGTTTTTAGGCCTGCTTTCTTCATCAGCAGTTCTCTACAATTTGATATCATTTTGTTATTTTCTCACTTAAATATTAATTTGTGACTCCTATTATGTTTACTCTTATTTTATTTATTTTTTTGGAAAAGTATTTTTAAACTAGATATTAAGAGTGATAATTATGGAGCTCCTGGTATAGATCAATATTTTTAATGATGTTTCGTTAAATATAATTTCATATGAACAAGCAGAAAGTTACTAAACATTACAAAAATTACTCATGGTAGTTTCATCAGGTGATGCCTGCTTTTATTACTGTACTGTTTAACTTACCCCATTTTTCAGAATAATTTCAGATTTCAAGTCAAATCACTTAAACTAACTGTTGGCTTTATTTAAATTTGTTTCTTAAATGTAATTTTTTTTCCAGAGCTGTCAAGAATTCTGATGATTATGAAGCTCGGTCAGAAATGCATTTGGCTAGCACTTTTGCTGGAATAGGATTTGGAAATGCTGGTGTGCATCTTTGGTAAGTTACTTATGATTTGAATTATGTATCATTCAATGCAATATACATATAAAATAGTTTTCATTTATTTAATTTTTCAATAATAACATTCACTTTTCAGTCATGGAATGTCATATCCAATTTCTGGCTTAGTAAAGAAATATAAAGCCTCAGAATATAAATGTGATCATCCTATTATTGTAAGTATCAACATTGAATTTTATAATTTTTATTTCAAAGTCAAAATGAAGATCTGGAAGGTTCTAAGTAATATTTTAATATATCTGAGTAAATTAGCTTTTAAACTTTTTTACATTGACAATAGGAGATAACCATTATACATTTCCCTTATATCTTAACCACAAGCTTTTAACTGCTACAATCTCTAAACCAGTAACGTTCATTTATACTGCTCACATCATAAATTTTACACTCTTGGCATTTTAATTTGCTGCCAAATGAAAGGTTCCCTACTGCCCATAACAAAAATATGTTCTGAACCTTGTCATCAACTATTTGTTGCCAAATGTGCTGGAAACCTTTTTCCATTCCTAAAAAAACGCTCAAAGAGTGTCTTCTTGTACATTTATAAATTGAGATTGAAATATAAAGACTTAGTAAATGGTGTATAGTTAATTAAGAATAAAATTAGATTTATCACCGAAATTTTTTTTTTTCAAAAATGTCATTTAGATCCTTATTAAGCTAAGCTCTTTGCGTAAGGATCTTATTAACCTTCTGCTTTGATATTTTAGTTTGAATCTGTTTACTTTATTAGACTTTTTTAATGTTTGTGTTTTCTTTATTTTGATATTGGAATGAATTTCTTATCTGTAAATAGAAAACTAAAGAAATTACTGCTAATAGCGAAAACAAATTCAATGAAAGTTAATGCATTTATCATTTTCTGAAATGCTAGGAATCACATGTTTGGTTGTATTATTTGATTCCCCAAATCATTATTACTTTGATAGATTATAGGAAAACAAATCTTCAAGTTTATTCAATCATATTTTTTAACGCTTCTCAGTTTTATCATTTAAATATTTATAATGTATGTGATATAATTACTTTAATGGGTAGGTGAATAAGTAAAGTACAAAATTGCATGCAAATCTTTTTTTCTATATGATTATATAATTTTAGTAAACTAATTAAAACATAAATGAAATTTTAATTTCATAACTGTGGTTAAAAAATTAGTTTGCTGATTACATCAAAGCAGGTAGTAGCTAAGTTTGTTTTAAAACTGAGACGTTCATTTTAATAAATAAAAAATATTTGTTTCATAAGGTGTTTCGTAACCAAATTCTTTAACAATTTTAAATTAATGCTTAAGCAATAAGAAAAAACACCCTATAAAAATCAAACTAATTACTATTGAGAAACTGAAAACATCTAAACCTGAATTTTGGAGAAAACATGAGGTAATTGGAAAGAGATTATTAGAATTACCTCCATGTTCCATCAAGAAATTAAACTGATTTTGGTGGGGTTTTTTTATTCTGCCTTTCTTGCTAATGATTTGAAAGATTACAATAGCATTTTTGTATCTCACTCTCTTAAATACTGAAAGGTTCTAACAATTCAAATTATAGATTGCAATTTAGGAATCCCTTGTATTTTATTAAGAGATTTCTATAAATTAATTTTCATTAATTTAAAAGATTAATTTTAAACAATTTATTAGATTTTATTGCATACATTTTCTCTCTTTAAATCCCTGGTACTTAATTTTTTTCTCACTATTTTTAACAAATTCATATGTTTTAATAAACAAAAGCATTAATTTTATGTTTATAATAAAGCAATTTATTTCTGTTATTTAATTTCAAACAATTGGATAAAATATATCTTCATAATAGTTTCAAAATAATACTGAAGCTTTAATGCGGAACCTCCTTTTTCGAATTTCATAAGCTTTACTCTTTCACATTCCAGGCTTGTTCCTTATTATTTATTCTAATTTTGTCACATGTCTAGTGCATATATCTACTACTGATTGAAGATTTTGCTTATTTTGTTTATTTTTAATTTAGCCTCATGGGTTATCTGTAGTGATTACGGCACCTGCTGTCTTCCGCTTCACTTCACCAGCTTGCCCGGACAGACATTTGACTGCTGCTGAAGCATTAGGTTAGTATTACTAAAAGAATTCACGCTTTCCATAAACTCACTATTTTACAATTATATATTTAATGTTCTTTTTCTATTTCATGAAATATGTAATAATCAATTGCAATCAATAACCATATTCACTAATATAACAATAGAGCACAGCTAATATTCCTGGAAGACGAGTTATCTCATCTGTCGCAATGAAAGAGTTACATTTAAGGCAAAATAGCTTTGAACTATTGGTTGATACTTTTTCCATGACTGTAGTTATATCAGCTAGAAAATTGTTTTAGTGTGTCCGTATTTTTCTTTCGACCCTAAATAAAAACTAAACAAATTTTAAGGGATATTTTGGGTTCAAAAAACGTAGTTGTCATAGTGTTCTCATTTTGCTCTTTATTTATGCTATTTCAACAGGAAAAGACATTACCAATGCCAAAAAAGAAGATGCTGGTTTAATTCTGTCTGATGTGGTTCGCGATTATATGCACAACTTAGGCATAGAAGATGGCTTAAAAGGATTAGGGTTTGATTCAAGTGATATTCCAGAGCTGGTGGAAGGCACTTTGCCTCAGGTAATGCAATTTATGTAACAAATACTGGGTGTTTTAAAACTCATTGGCAAAAATTAAAGGGGTGGTAGAAATAATCTTAACAAGCAATTATTACCATACAACAATGCATGTGAATCACCAGGAAGTATCCGTTACTGTCACATGAAAGAACGAAACATGTTACTGATCGAGGTTTCTATATTTTATTGACAGCATGTCTGGTAAAATTACAGAAACTGCTCAAAAGAGCACTAATGCAGTGGTTACACCTGTGCCAGAATCATGACTAAATTGTCGCAGAACGTTACTGAGTTCTTGCAGAAAGATCTTTCCTTTGGGAAAGAAAAAACTTTGGTTTTCTTTTCTATAGAAATTTTTGAAAGATTTTTTTTCTTTTCTTCAGAATTGCATTTTCTCAGATGCTTTTCTCGCGCACCAGAGTTGGGGGGGGAAATGCTTGTGATTTTTCTGTTCACGTTTGAGAATAATGAAAAATAAAGAGTAATGAAATAAAAAGTTTTGATTTTCTTTTCTGCTGAAATTTTCGTTCTATTTTTTTATGCAATTATTACTATTGATTTCCACATAGCTTTTAAAATCAAATATTTTTAATACAGTAGTATTATTTATTACAACAACTAGATTTTGTTGTTGGTTTTTTTTTTTTTTTTTTTNAATTGTTTTTTTTTTTTTTTTTTTGGTTGTTACTGCTACGGATTTCCCAATTTTTTTTAATGTGTTTATGATTTACAAAAGACTAATAAAAAAAATAGTGTCTTTCCCCCCTACAAAATATAAGTATATTGACATATGTGAATTTATATAAAAAAAGATTACATATTCAATTAAAAAAAATATATTTTTTTTTTTGAAGTTGACGCTTCTGCTACTTTAAATTAGTAACATGTATACACATTATTTTTAAATTTATTATTAATCTTGCAGAAAGATATTAGTATTAGAGAAGTATGTTGCAGAAAGCTCGAAAAAATTCTGTCACAGGGCACCTGTGTTTAGCAAGCGGAACACATAATTTAATTTAGGTCCAATTTAGCATCTCCTCTATCCCTTTGGTGTTTAATTTTTTCATGTGACAGTAGCGATTCACCATTAGCTCTTCTCCTGTAGTGATAATTGCTTGTTAAGATGTTTTCTTATCACCCCTTAAATTTTTGCCCCTGGAAAACTGACAACAAAAAAAAAAGAAACAATTTCATCTGGCAGTGCTTTGCTGTTCTGTTTTATGCTAAATTTAAAAAAAAAAAAAATCTGATAATTTTATCATATATTCATTGCATTTTTTGGGCTCTAAGTCACTCTTGCTGTCTGGGAGTCTTTTNTTTTTTTTTTTTTTTTTGTTACTTTGAAATTTTATTATTTAAATTAGTATTCAATATGGTTTTCAAAGTTTAAATATATGTTGCATGTTTCTTCATGGCAAATATATGAATCTAATGAAATTATTGAGTTATATTTTTAATTGAGTAAAAATGAGGTTTCCATTTAAAGTTTTAAATATATAATATACTTAACTACAGCATTGATCAGATTTGCATGTTATGTAATAAAACTGGGTTCAATTAGTTTTTTTTTTTAATTCAGCACCATAAAAGCTCACTTTAAAATTATTATCTATCAACAAGCATAAAATGTTTTTCCATAGATTTGATCTATGGAAAAATATTTTATGCCTGTTGACTGGATGAATCATAGCATCAAAATTAGGGCCAATTATTTTCCAACTAAGAACTATTTTTTATTGATCAATGTAGAATTGGTAAGTTATCTCAATCTGCCAAGCTGATCACACACTTTAAGGGATCACTCTTAAATAGGTTACCTATTTAATCACTATATACACCCTTTTCAAGGCTGCGGTAGAAGCGGTGTAGAGCTTTAGCCCTCACAATTTATAAATGAAGTGGCACAACTCTAAAATAACAATTTGTCAATCAATATTTTTTGTATAATTAAATTAAAAATTATTATTTATTTTTTTGCTGTATAAGTATCTATTTCATTACCTTCACCGAAACTGTTACCAAATCATTCTGTATTCATGCCCCTCGGAGGTGATATAAGTTGATCAATGTGAAAAAGTTTCAAATTTCATTACCTTTATTGCTTTAAGGAATAATCTGATGATAATCCTTTCTAAGCTTTTAATTTATAATTAAAATAATTTTTACTCTTCATTATACTTTAAATTGTGAGAGATTAATGAAAATCTACATATAAAAGTTTTTTCTTGGTCACACGAAATGTCACAATTCAAAGAAATTGCGAGGTTTGTCATCTAAAAACACTTCGAAATTTCATGAACTATTTGAAAATATAACTTATTAGCTCTTTTGACTAGTACATAATACCTGTACAGTGTGCTATAAAATAAATAGACCACCCTAAATGACTTTTGATCCTAATGATCAGATTTTCACTTTCTATGGCTCATCTTAATGGTTCAAAGGGATGAATGACCTCCATGCTAGTAAGTGAAAGCGATATTTTATGTTTCAAAATCAGACACAAAAACATACTTTCTCTGAATTAACATTCACCTTTTTTTTGGAGGGATATAGGTTTCTCACCCCCGAAATATAGGGGTAGCAGCAATCTGGGAAATATAGTTCCAATAGTCAGAAGAGCAATCCAAGACTCCTTAATGTTATTTTTACTTTTTGCATATTTCGAGAACTTCTTAAGCAAAATCGATATCCTTTTGCACACAATTGTAAGAAATAAGTTTATCCAAAGATTCCATGGAAAATATAACTTTAAAAATATTCATTTCATTTAATAATAGTTTAATTGTAAGATATACAAGGTTTTACATCCCTTTGAAGATCGTATTTTTAATTGGAGCAAAATAAGTCTACTAATCTGAGAAATCTAATTTTAAAGAATACTTTTCTTTTCAGGAAATATTAGACTTCGCTCAACTTTTGTAATTTACCTTCTTTAAAATGTGAAAAATTTCATATTAAATTTTAAAAAAATATTTACTAGTTTTTTTTTTTTTGCATGGAACTTTCTTTGGATAACCAAATTTCATAATTGTCTGTAAAGACTTTTCAATTAAGCTTTAGAGAGATAATAAAATTAAGAGGTTCAACCTTTGGACTGCTTTACTGATCCAAACTATTAGGACCATATTTTAGAGGTAAAATCCGCTGGGGGGGGGAATGTTTATTCAGGGAAAGTTCGTTTTTGCGTCTTATTTTGTAATTTACAAGTTTTAGGACTCTTGTTATTCAGGGCCAGGGGTCTGTCTAGGTTTTTGTGAAAACTAAAATGTCATCACAAAAATATGGTAAAAATATAGATTTATCATTTCGTACGGGATACAAAAATAAAATTTTAAGAAAAAGCATTTTGTGAAACTACCGTTTTTCCTAAAGTTGAATTTGTGAAGGTACCACTGAACGGTAGTAAATTTGGCAGTCAGACCCCTGAGGGCAGTCTGTTTTATTGTTTGCGTGCTGCAATTAATTGTGAATTCTAGTTTGTTATTTACCTTAAATAATTTAGGACTAATTACTTTTTTACAGCACCGTGTTACAAAACTAGCTCCCAGAGAACAATCAAGAGAAGAACTGAGTCAATTGTTTGAAAATTCTTTAACTGTATACTGAGGCTGAAATTAACATATTTCCAAGTACAATTATGAAATCTTTTATTATATTTATACATACATGTTACATTTCAATAAATAGTTTTATAAATACAAGTAGCAAAGTTTGAATTTTTAACCTTTTAAAAAGCATCAAATAAATAAAAAGGTAAACTCAAACATAAAAATACTGTCAGATTTTTCAGAATTAAAAATTTCCAGTCTTGGTTGAGTCAACATTTGATGTTCAGTCTTTCAATATTTAACTAAAACAGTTTTTCAATTAAAAATTTACCCTTGTTAGAAAATGCTAGTTCTTTCAGATCAGGTTAAAGTGTTATAATTAGATGCTTGAAAACAATGTTGGGGTCACTTCACTGATGGATTGCAATGAACAGTTTGGATGCAAAAGGATGATCACTTTATGTACAAATTATTCACTGAGTACTAGTTAAATGCGTTTGATGAACCAAGTTTTCTGTTAAACAGTTAGTCTTGTTATCTTCAGGTAAACTAGATTCCAAAGAGGTGGCTTTCCAACTGGAACTTAGGTTACATGTTCCATGCCATTGAGCCTGTTTCTTTACTCTGGACTAAAAAAGAAAAAAATCTTCAGTTAGTAAAATAACAAAATTTTACTGTTTAGAAAACTAGGTAGTTTGTTTCCATAAAATTTCAAACTTTTTTAACAAGTTTTACAACAGATGAGGACTGAAAATAACTATTACAGTTTTTGCTACAGATCATACCAGTCTAAATAAATTGCAAGGATTTTCTCAGACTACACCACTTTGTTTATGCAATGTTAGAAACAGTTTTGATAACTTAATGAGAAGAAACAGCCTACTTTTTTACGCTGAACACAGCTAATTATACATTTTTCCATCTGTTTTTGTATCATTGATATTTCAAACTTGTCATTGCAGGGATTCCTGTAGCAAAAACTTAAAAAAGTGGAATTTTATAGCAAATGTGTGGATTTTTGCAACAACAAAAAAAAATTATTCTCTTATAAGTGAACTTTATTTTTGCAATTTTTCTGTTAATTTTGATCATTGATTATAAAAAATTGCTCATCTAAAAATTATAGCGTTTGGCAATGTTTTTAAATTTTCTTTTTTCAATAAATGAAGTTGCAATGTTGAAATCTCAATAACATGGTTAAGTGGAAAGAAGTGGTGTTCTATCCTATCTACATTGGTGGTTTGAAGCCCATTCAACTTCGGATTGATGGGCACAGACTTGCCTAGGAAGTAAAAACAGTCATAGTGCAATGCCCACCACCATGCACTAAATCACGAAATTGTGGCAACTACGACTCCTCTGGCCTCACCGAGACATGCATTGCAGAAATGCTTTAATGTATATCCAATAATATTGATGATAAATATTATTAGATATACATGATGCTTTAATGTATATCCAATAATATTGCATAACAATTTTTCCATAAAATTAACTTTTGAATTTCCACATTCAGTAATGAATATTAATTCAAAAAGACTTGTAAGACTACTTTATCTCAAAAAGCTTCAAACTGCTTTATAGTGAATTATCATTTTTTCCAATAAAATATTTCTTATTGGGAAATTCTTTCTGAAATTGTATATTTAAGAGTTTAGATGCACTGTGCACTACAAACAATATTTTTTCTTATTGAAATTATTCTTTAAGGGTAACATTTTATTCATGTATTACTGGTAGGTAGATTTTTTTTCATGCTTTCACTAATTGTAAGTTTGATACATTATAGAGGAAAATATGAGGTTAAAAAAATATATTATAATTAAATTCATAGAGTTAAAAATCAGACACATGCCCTAGCTAGAAGTAAAAAAACGAACATAAATATTTTACAATCTGATGCTGTCTTAATATTTATATGAAAAAAACGTCTGTTGGTTGAAAAAATTTTATAAATGCTTTCTAACTCGAAAAAAAAATCTGACAATTATTTATCTCTTTTATAGGAACACAACTTTTGAACAATAGTTAATCGACTTCATCACTGTACAAGAAAAAAAAAACTAACAATATAGTAACTGTAAAACTTGTCCAGAATTCCTGTCAAAAAAAAAAAAGGAAATTGTAAAAGTAGTTACGAAACTAGGAATTGCACTCTCAGTTTCAAAATTAATTACTAAGTTAGTCAACTGTCAGCACTACTAACTTAGAAAAACCATTAAAAAAATTCCAAACACACACCAATCGTAATATTGATATGGAAATGAAAATTAACATTTATAATGGTTCGACATGTGGGGAAAAAAAAAATTATATTTTTTACTCAACTTTGCCATCTGTTGTTAGTAAACTATTTTATTTAGAAAGTAGTAAACCTCATTTCTAACTCCTTCCATTTCTCTTCAAATTGACTTTTAAAATCTAATATATGGGGCATACGATATGTAGATAAAATATGAATGAACATAAATACTTACAGATTTAACATCCCGCCTCCACTTATTTCCACACTCTCCATTACAAGTCGGGCAAGGTCTAGTCATAGAATATCCACCACACTCAGTGCAGTCCAAGCTAACATGATCATCATACCAACTGACTCCACATCTGAAATAAACCATGAAAAAATCAATAAAACATTGGACAATAAAGACGCTTGAAAATATTAATTGTTCTTGAGCATTGAATGAGCTGTTATTTTGGAAAGTGGAATAGGTTGATTGTGAGTTAGTTTTTTTNTTTATTATTTTTTTTTTTTTTTTTTTTACAATATTAATGATCATTATCGCACTCTAAAGTTAAATCAAATTACAGTGTTAAAAACATTTAAATTTGTTATAAATTCATTCTAACACTAACCCTTAAATATCTTGATATGGGGAAAAGGGGACTTATTCCACTTTCAAAAATAATGACACAAATGTAACGCAAAATGGATATTTACTTGGAACAGGAATTATAGGTTCTTCTTAGGCCTTCGAGTGTTAACATATCTGATGTATCAGGAACTTGGTTTAGGTTTTCTTCACTGTCAAACACTTGATCAATACCTTCGATGTTCTCCTTTTCGCTGTTTCTACTTAAACGCTTGATTCTCATTTTGCCAATCTTAAATTCTGTAAAAGAAAAAAAAGCTTAGAACTTTAGAAACACAACTATTTTATATTTGAATAGTAAGCAAGCTCCATTTTTTATTTGATCAATAAATGGGTGGGTGTTTGGTCTTGGAAGGGACGGAGGGTATGCGGTATCTGTCCTCATTAAACTGTTCTACAGTAAATAGCTAGACTTTGTGCACAAGTCACCGGGTTACCTAGAGAGGGGGTTGCAATCCCTTCTGCAGAAGTTGAAAATTCTGATGGCATGTCTCCATATTATCCTTGTTTCCTTGAATGTTACAAATTGTGAAATGTGCAGCTGTATAGTATGACATAGAGAACTACTACTATTACTTATTCATTATAAAATAAACTCGTTTTATTATTCTGCTATGAATGAAAAATAAAAAAAATTTGTTTCCTCAAATGTTATAATACCAAAAATATTCTGCAACTGCACACAAGAAAAAAAAACAGAAGATGAACAAAGAAAAAAAAAGGTGAATAGATAGGTAAATGTAAAAATAAAGCATTCTAAACAATATTTTAAAAAAGAATTTAAAACTTGATGGCTATCACTATTTATAGGAAAAAGTTAGCTTTTGTCAACTATCTTTAACATTTTTCTAAAATATAATTCTATAGGGGGGAATGTTCTAGTTTTTTGAAAGGCGGCCTGCCCTGCTTGCCATTTGATCCCAATAAAAGCACCCTTTTTGTAAAAATAAGCCACCATCCTTTAAAAGCACTGCCCATTTTTTCGGATTCCATTTTGAAGATAATTAATTCACTGTTTAAAGAATAATTAGACATTGGTAAAATTATCTCTGTTTATAGGTTAAATTCAGATTATACTATTACAAATATTTATTTTGCTGGGATTATTCTCAACTAGTTAAATTTTTAAAATAATCTTTTTGGGAGAGCAGTACCGTCTTTACGCATGGGCACACCCGGGCAGTGCCCGAGGGCCCCAGGTACTCAAGGGGGCCCCGAGAGTCTTACTTTTTATAAATTTTATTTAAAAAAAATATAAGACTAAGCAAAATTACCTTATATATTTTTTAAAATAAATATATTATATTGTATAAACTGTGTATTTTGTTTTTCTTTCTACAAATAGTGATTGATTATCTTGCAAACAACAATAATTTGAATAGTTTATCACCAGGGAAACTTAAAAAGACAACCGAAATCTATTTATTAATGTTTCAATGAAATTTTTATGTGAATTCAGCTTTTTTGGGTTTACAAAAAACAAATTTAAATCAAAACGTATTTAAATTTGTTCAAAATATTGTATATGTTAAAAATGATTTATTTTATATATATTTGAAGTTCTTTAGTTCGATTTTAAGCAGTATGACGTGTTATACGGGCCCAAAACATTTCTTTGCCCGGGGGTCCTGCATGCTATTAAGACGGCCCTGTGGGAGAGTGGGGATATTAATTTTTTAAATGATTTTAAAACTATTTTTTAAATAAATAGCTTTTTTAAAAAAATGAACCTTTCATTCCGTGCAGATTCATTTTCTCATAATTTAGTTTAAATTATAGAAGAAAGCTTTCAAGCTGTTTATCAATTAATCATTTTATGTGAGTTGACTTTTTTTTGAAAAAAATATACACAGAGATTGCCTATATTGACAAATATTTACTTGCAGAAATTGCTATTTTGATAAATATTTACAATGTTAAGCTAGTGCCTTTAACAGGCAGGAACAGTCCTGACCTTTTTTATTCTTAGGGAGAATTTTGCATATCTTAAATCTTTTATCACATAATACATTAAAATATTTGAAAAATAAAGATATGAATGACAAAGAAAATTTTTTACTTTCATTAAAAATACAATTTACAAGTCAACATTGCAATTCAAAAATTTTTTAAATTACAAGCGGTTTTACATTACAATTCGAACAGTACAAGCAAATACTAATTAACAAATGCATAAAGATTTATCAAACGATTAACGAACCGAAAAAGCGCAAGACAACCTTCAACCTATGAAATTAAGAACCCAATCCCAGCTTAAAAAAACGCGAAATACATTTTCAAAAAAAATGGCGAAATATTAAAAAAAAAAAATAGACATCTGTAACAAAGTATGAGGAAACAGGAGATTTGGAAATCATTCTTAACAGTGGATGCGGAAAATTTAATTTCTATGATGACAAAAATAACCTAGATATTGATTTATACCTAATTGGAAAATAGCGGAATAAAGTCAGTAAAGGAAAACAAAATTTATAATTCGTAAGTGAATTAATTTATAAAATGACTTTAAAATATATTCTTTGCAAAAATTTATTTGTCACGTTAAAAAAAAAAAAAAACATGCGTTTTAGTGGTATTTTGTAAAGTAAAAATTGCAGTATTAACTACAAATTTCTATCCCAATTTCTTAATTGTCAATGAATTCCATTCACGGCATTTATATCTACATAAAATAGAGGATTTCAATTACGAGACATTTCATAAGTATTATGCAAATTCTTAAAACTGCACTTTAATTGAAAATCGTAGCCGAAAAGGGAACGAACCTTTTGAAAAAATGAGGATTATGGGTCTAATTTCACAAAATTCCATTTTAACTCTTCGATTCTAACTGTCACACTCTTTGAAACGTTTAAAAACGAACTGAATGGCTGCTGGTTTATGTTTTCACAACTCATTTATCAAATATGGATGCTACATTAATTGCTTTAACATTTTAATTCTAGCTAACTAGAATAAACTAGATTGAAATTCTTTAGGAGGGAATTAATACCTCCTTAGAACTTACACCAACCACAACTAGTTGGAAAAAAGGAAAAAAAACGGCGCTTTTATCTATAATATTGTTATTACAAGACAAATTTCAGATTTACTAACATCTGTGGTGTGGTATAATTTTCATTATTAAATCTTTAGCAAAAAATTTTTTAATTAATTTGCAATAGTTTCTTATTTAATTAAATCATTTGCAAACGATAGTTTATTAGATCATTTTGCAACTGATAATTTTCTAAATTATGCCTCTGGCGAAAATGATTATAAGAGCTATAAGAACAGGAAGAAGTTTCATTTCCTCACACCACGTTTTTTTTTTCTTAGCATATTTATTTAGAACAACTTAATTTGGAATATATTAAAATCACTTACACAGATATAAAAGAAGAATCCACCGGAAAATTCTTTCGTAGTAAAAATATAAAAATACTTCCAGCACTTATTCCAAGCAAGGACTTTCTCAAAATAAACTAAAAGGATTCTCACAAGAACTTCATACAAATCATTCACAGACTTTCGATGCGATAGGTAAAGTGAAGAGAAGGGACTATAAATAAATTTCGAGCCGAGCACTCTTGTGATAAATAGACAACTGATAAGAATAGGAAGATAAAAATTTTTAAATGAATCACAGCACACGTGAAATAAAATACCTTGAGTACGCTGTTTATCACGCGGATTACTTGGATAAACACACTAAAACAATAAAGACGAAAATTTCGTAAGAGCACGAGGTGTATAAAAGATTGTTCAAATCTCATTACTTTTTCAGAAGAAGGAATCTAGTTTCCGGTGAGCAATTTCGAAGCAGACGAAGTTAGAACTCGATTAAGATTTACCTTGAAATCCAAACGTTTAGCATAATTACATAAAGAACGTAATTCATATATCGGGTGTGACGTTAATATCTAATAATTGTGTATGTATGTAAAGGATAAAGAAAAAATTCTAACGAACTACATATTTTGAGTGGAGGCACCAGTTTGCCTACTTACGACAGATTAGACTAATTTATTCGTGGTTATTTAATGAAGGATAAACTTCAATGTTAATCTCAAATTTGAAAAAAATGTATAATAATTAAGGTTATGCCTAGTACGTAAAAAATATGAGATCCAAAGTTATAAAAGACTGAAGTGATCAGATTTTTTTTTTTTCTGGCACTGTATGCAATCAATGCAGCTGTTTCCAGACAATTTGAAAATAAGATTGCAGAAGCAAATTTAAAATTAAAATTTTAGCTCCCAAGCTAGTTACTATAAAGTTGAAAAAGCAAATAACTAAAGAAAAAAAATGGAAATTCATTTAAAAGTTTCGATTATGGCTCAATAGAGATAGAGGTTTCCCTCATCCTCAAAGGTGAAATTTAGCCAGAATGTTGAAATTATTGAAAAGGAGTTTCGGTCAAAAGGGAGTTGCGGTCAAAAGAGAGAAACTTAAAACTTTACAGTATTTAAATAAAAATTCAAATTTATACAAAAGAATGGGGCATTCTTTACGTACTCATACAAGTAAATAAAAATTCTCAGTATGTTACTAGTTTAAAGTACAAAACTTATTCGCGCACTGAAACTCACATTGTTCAATGCATTCCTTCATTGTTCAATGCAACTCGCATCGTAATCTAATGTTAATAGTAAATTGGTTTTAAAGAACTAAGTAGAACATGTTTAACACTTTAAAACTCACATTTTTAGTTTTAATTAACATGTTAATCTGTTGTAAATGCCCGGCTCAATTTTCATACAGTGTTTTACAAAGAAAAAATACATTTTGTAAACAGTATTCTGAACAGTCAACACATCATAATTTGAAGCAATTTTGCTAAAAATGTTTCGTAACATCTTACTCAAAACTCTTCCAATGATATGAACAATTTTTTTAAAAACAAACATTAGCATTACATATGCAGAGATGCCAACTGCTCCGGACACGCCAAAATAATTTTAAAAAAAACGGTAAATAACTACGAAGTAAATGTTGAAAATATTTGACTATTTTTGCTTGCTTTTTAAGAGGTATATCATGACATTAGTACGATAAAGTGGTAAATTATATAAGCCTAAGAATTATTTAGAAATAGTGGTGGATAAAATTTACTAAATTGAATTTATCAAACCAAGAATCACAATTGATAAGCTACCACTTTAAAATATATATTTGCTCTCCGGAGCAAGTTGGCATCTCTGCATATGACGTTACCATATGACCATGGCATACCTGCCATGGTAAGGGGGAAAATGAAAGGTAGATATTACAAAATTTTAAAATTTAAGAATATTCTATCAAATTAATCTAAGAAACGTTATCAAAGAAAAGGTAACTGTTAACTAGTGGTTTGATGCATGCAATAAACAAAGTGAAAGTTTACTTTGATAGAGATTGTTCTTTTAGAAACTTTTCCAGATTTCCTGAAGTAAACAAAAAACTAGGAGAATTTCAATTAAACCACGAGTATAATATCAAAATCCTATAGTATTCAAAAGAATCAATAGAGTTGCCAGGTATATTATCACGTCAAGTTTAAGGTCCTTTTTCCAACAGGTAGGATATAAAATTACAAAATAAGTGAAATGGAACTTACATCGGAATAGGCAAGCCAGGAACTGGAAGTAAGCAGTGTTGTGGAACGAAACCAAAACAAACCTGACTCAAAAGAGCTGCTCGAATCAAAACAAATGAAATGAGAACTCGACCTATTTCTTTCTCCCTCCAAGGGAAATAGCAAAGCAGTAAAATGATTTCAAGAACACGTGCCTGACAAGTGTAAGTGTCTGCATTTGTTTTTATTTTCACAAGTGGCGCCAAACATTCGGCTGTCTTAATGAATTTCTGAAATTGAGTTAATTCATCCGAAAAAATTCGAGGTTTTGGAATCACTTTTTTTTAAAAAAAAAAACAGTAATTTTCGTATGAAAGAATTACATAGACTGGTACCAACAGCAATAGTTCATGCGTTTACTAAAATCGCTGATACAGCAATGAATCATAACTGAGGTATTATGGTATCGATTAGGCGTTTATGTATTTATTGAACAATCGACAGCAACTTATTTTTTTCTGAATGAAAAATATTCTCAAATATTAAAATTTCACAAATATAGTCGAATTAAAGAAGAACAGAGAACCTGACTATTAACTCGTTAAATGAATGTCCAATCAGGTGTAGTTATAAAAAATAAAAGCTGTAGCGTACAAAAACATGCTGTATTATTAATAATTGGTAGAACACATGAGGAATTTTACATTGTTTTTCTTCATATCTTACCTGCATGCAATTTTTGAATAAATTGAATCAAATGTTTTCAAACCCTTTCGAAGGTAATTAAATTTCCACGAACATATACTTTTTTTTCCCTAATAACTCACAATCAAAACGTTTATACCCAATGTCTCGTTAAATCCAAGTTATACTCGCACGAACAATGTAAGATTTTTAACATTAAGCTAACAATTTTCCTCACTAAATTCTGTCTAATGTAAAATTAAGGAATGTAATAAGCGAGTAAGACTCTGCGTTTTAATTTTAAAGAAAAATATACCTTACTGTTTTATTTTGCTATTATATTAATTTGATAGCTCTAAGTCAAAGAGCAGATACTATGTTTTATTTAGCATATAATTGAAATGCGTAGAAGCGAAAAACTAGTAGATTAATGGCATTGGATTAAATATAAAGTTAACTGGTATGTAATATGCCATTATAGGCATAGAATATTTCCTAGATTTTGAATTCTTTATTTCATAAATTTTATTTAAGCATTTCTAATCGCTCTTTAAATGAATCTAATTTTATTAAATTTTATAAAGAAAGCGAATAAATATATTTATATTTTCTCAATAAATGTAAGAACTAGCTTTTTATTTCAATGTAAGGTGTATAACGAAATATAATTCAATGTCACGGCAAAGGAGTAACAAAATTTATAAAAAATTTATTTCTACAATCACATTAAAGATTAGTTACGTTATTAGGTCTACTTTAATTTTAAACGAACTTTTTGGCCTTAAATGTTCAGCCAAATTATTTAAATATTATCACTAGAAAATTGAGTGTGATCGATTTTGGCTTGACTTTTGGTAGTGTTCATTTTCAATAACGCGCCTTTAATGGATCTCTTCTGAATTACAAGGCTTCGATTAAATACTAACTTTTGAATTGGCTTATAATTAAGGTGCTCATGGAGGATGTATCTACCATGGCCCATCTCTAATAAAAATCAAAATTTATCCTTTTACCCCTAAATTGTTATTTGGATAAGATAATTCTTTTTTAATTCTGCAACTCGAGTTCGGCAGTAGAATTAATATTTTACAAAATAAAAGTCTTATTCTGATTAACATCCTATTTTCAAAGCCTAAAATTTATTTACTTTTCCCTATATATCAGTCTGCAATTATGTGAAGTACCATCCACTTGTCCCACCCTCAAATGTTAAATCTAAATATGATCTATTAATTCTGTTTTCTGCCACAATCAACAAAATTAATCTGCTACAATTAGGCCTCTATATAAATAGTATATAAATATCTATTTGTATAGAGGCCTAATAGTTATTTATATAGAGAGCTCTATATAAATAGTTTTAAATATTAAAATCTAAGCATAACTTGCAACTTTGTTTTTTAATGTAATTGTTATTTAATTCAAACAAAAAGATGAAGGCGTTTGAAAAGGTATTAAAAGAAAATGCAAAATAACCGGAAAATGAAAAACGACAACTGTTCAAATGATAATAGCACTCACGATCCCAAGTTTCTAGAAAGAGAAAACACGCGCTAGTCATTTTCTCTTTCCTAGTTCGAAATCTATTTTAAAACTACTCCATGTGATAAACACGGTCAGTTACCTCTGTCAGGCAAGTAAGAAACGCTTTTCGCAACATTCGGCATAGAAAAAATTAAATTTCATTGATAAGAATAGTATTATTCGTGCGAAAAACGAGGAGGTATTGTTATATGACACTTTTTTTTCTTCAAACATGCCAGGAACACGCGCGGAACGCAAAAGGAAAACACTGGCGAAGAAATACTTTTTATTCCATTTATACAAATATTTGATCTTGCCTAATTCGGGTGTGCAGACTTCAAATTATGTTTAAAAACGTTATATACCATATGAGAATGCATAAATGTTCCGACAAACTTCTATTAGGATTAGGGCACATCATTAGGATTAAACTTGGATAAACACCTATGCCCGAAAATGTCGCCTTACGCGGTTAAGAGCGCTTCTCTATTATGACCTGTTCCGAAGCTCACGAAGAAAATTCAAAATAGGGGAAGAGCCCGCAGCGGCGTACGACATTTTACGCAATTTTAATCCTGATGTTTTTTAACTCTCCTAAGTTAGTCGAAACATTTATGCGACTTCCTGTTATATACAATAACAACGTTTTTAAACTTCTAAATTTCGACAAAAAATTGACTAAAAATGTCATTTAAAAATCTGGGGCTTGAGGAGAGAAACAGATTGTAGATCTGAAATCAACGACGCGAAAGCAGCCAAGATCCGTTAAAAAATCCCAAGCAACCAAAAAAAAAAAAAAAAGTTCCAG